ATCCCCGCTTCCTTACCTCATTCTAACTGACAGAGAAGGATCTCAATACCAAGGGTTCATATTTCCCAGAAATGTAGGTTGATGGAGGTCACACTACCAGCTAAGACAACAAGGTATGCCAAGGTGACGGAGAAGGGAATTTACAACAGAAGATGGAGGAGAGAGGGTGAGTGCAAGTGCAGCCCTGAAGTCAGCTGCACTGACAGAGGTTCAGTTCTCTTTTCCCTCAGAAAGAAAAGCAGACAGGGTCCATGGAGAAGTCACTCTCAGCTCTCAGTGGAGAAGAACACCTGTGCAGTGCAAGGGGTGGACTGTGAGGGCCAAAAGGTTGTACCTTTCAGACTTCAGAGAACAGTAAGCTTAACTGCTACACTTGCAATTTACCACCATGTATCCATTGGGACCACACTTCCCACAGGCTGTTCCCTGCCAAGGACTAAGCATGGCAGGGAATACTGGGCACTCCTGTGATGAACAACTGTGGCTTAACAACTCCCCAATAGCCTTGCGAAACACTGCTGAGATCTGCGCTGCAAAGTAAGATGCTTCTGCCCAATCATCCTTCATTCATTTGGTGCCATGCCTGTATCTCCCATTCTCCCTTGACTTCCTCATGTCCTTACAAGCACTTTTACTCATAAATCCCTTGCATGTCTAATTCTTGTCTTGGCATCTGCTCCTTGACGACTTAGACTAACAATATATCTGTCACATATTCACACAACGCACTATTTGTATATTTCAACATCAGTATTTAGGAGATCTCATTTATAATTACAATAAAAAGGATGAAATATCTAGGAAATAGAATAAAAATATTCAAAATATATATTAAGAAAGACGCAAACATACAAAGATTTATGTTCTCCAATATTGAAATCCCAATTCATAAATATTTTAATACTCTTTATATCTCTTAACTAAGAAGAAATGAGAACCCAGACTGCAATGCAATAAGACATGGTTTATCAGGTCTTAGGAGCTGCAACTTGGGAGACGCAGATTTGGCTGGAAGCTAATTTGTGTTCCAAAGAGAAGAAGGGAGTAGGGATTTTTAAAAGGAAGCCACGTGTTATTACACTAGTTGTTTTGAAAGAATTACGTTGGTTGAGGGGGCTGGATTACTACATGAATTCATAGTTTATTAGTTGTTTCTATTCAATAGTTGCAGCACTGGCAAAATTCAGCTGTTTTCTAGAATGTTTTCTATTTTACTTTTTCACTTAACAGTTTATGAGATCTTCGCAAATCAGTATGTAAATAGCAGGTAACTTCCTCATTTCTTTTTAGCAGCTTAGTATATTCTATTGTATTACACGATTTCAACCCGTCCAAAGGTTCAAGGCAGTTTCTACATTTTTGGCAGAGTTGCAGATTACACAAGTATTTTTTCTTAGAGCGGTTTCTTTAGTCCATTTTAGAGTTCTGAACCAGAGTGATGCCATCTTGCATACCACATTTCACTTACTCATTCGGACCTTCAACATAATCACAACAAAAACGTCAACAGACTTTTTAAAGTAGATTTATTCACTTTAAGTTTTACAGGTAAAAACTTCAAATGCCGAGACCTCTTGACCCAGCAATTTCAAATCAGTGAAATGACCATTCTACATGGTAAGTTATGGTATTATTTGCGGTAACTAAAGACTGAAACTAATGCAACATCCATTAATTGGTTAAGTAGAATATGGCAAATTCATAAAACAGAATTTACTAAGCTGCTAAAAAGAAATGAAGTTAACTAGTTATTTACATACTGATTTTTGAAGATGTGAAAATGAAACCATTAAGTGAAAACGTAGAAAACTGTGTACATAATGTCACCCTTTGGGTATATAAAGAAGTTAAGAGAATGTAATCCTACCTGCATTTGTGTAAAGAAGTTCTGGAAGTTAGGAAAACTGACTCAAATGATTAGCTCTGGCTGTGAACGGCTGGAAATGAATACACTGAAAACAGAGATCAAAAGATTTTGATGTTGATCATGTGCATTAGTGGCCTATTTTAATAATTAATAAACGTATCTCCAAAATGCCAACAAGATTGAACACTCGCTAGCATCTGATTTTGCACCAACTGGTTTGGCAACAATTAAAAAGCCTGGTAACATCAAATGTGGTGAGGGTATAGGGCATGGGGAATGCCTGCACATTTCCAGTGCCAGTATAAAATGGCTCAACCCCTTCAGGAAAGGTTATAACCAAATGAAGTTTAACTCCAAATGCCTTATGATCTCACCACATAACTCCTTCCTATATATCTCAGCAAGTCTTAGCACCTGGATACCAGAGAATATGTGTAAGAATATTCAAAGCAGCATTGTTTTTAATAGAAAAAAAATTTGAAACAATCTAATTGTCTACCCAGGGCAGAAGAGATAAATTAATTATATAATATTTATGCAAGGAAATACCATGTTACAGTGAAAAAGCAATCAACTCCACTACATGCATAGACTTCAACGAACCTCAAAAACTTTATGCCAAACAGAAGAATCATACAGTATGGGTCAACTCCCTAAAATAACAGTAAAACTGGCCAGTAATCTTGTTTATGAAAAAGTACGTATGTTGTAAATAAATACGGCAGTGACTTGTACGCTATTCAAGGATGTGTTTTTTTCTCCGTGGAGGAGGAAGGGGCTATTTCGAGAGGATGAGTTCAATTTACCTTAAGATTAGAACAAAATGTTTAAGTTTTAGCTTTTTTTTTTTGAGATAGAGTGTCACTTTGTCACCCAGGTTGGAGGGCAGTGGCGCAATCTTGGCTCACTGCAACCTCCACCTCCCAGTTCAAGCAATTCTCTACCTCAGCCTAAAAGTAGCTGAGATTATAGGCACCCACCACCATGCCTGGCTAACTTTTTTGTATTTTTAGTAGAGACAGGGTTTCATCATCTTGGCCAGGCTGGTCTTGAACTCCTGACCTCATGATTCACCCACCTTGGCCTCCCAAAGGGGTTTTTCTTGTTTTGTTTATTTGTGTGAGATGGAGTTTCACTCTTGTGGCCCAGGCTGAAGTGCAGTGGCACAATCTTGGCTCACTGCAACTTACGCCTCCCAGGTTCGAGATTCTCCTGCCTCAGCCTCCTGAGTAGCTGGGATTATGGGTGCCTGCCACCATACCCAGCTAATTTTTTTTTATGTTTAGTAGAGACTGGGTTTCACCATGTTGGTCAGGCTGGTCTTGAACTCCTGATCTCAGGTGATCTACCCTCCTCAGCCTCCCAAAGTGCTGGGATTACAGGCATGAACCTCGGCACCCAGCCTAGTTTTAGCATTTTAAAATATCTACATTCAAATGCAGTCTTTTGTAGGTAGAACGTATTTCATGATCTTTTTATATGGAAGGAAAATATGGCTCTTCGAAAAGACTAATAAAATGGACACCCCTGACATGTTGAATTAGGAAAATAATTTTAATGAGAAAAGAAGTTTTGTGCCTGATAAGTAGAAAATATTAAAAGCTATAAACAACTCTATGCACTTACACTTCAGAACCTCAGGGAAATGGAAAAAGTCTGGAGAAACAGACACTTTAAAGAGTTCACTCAAGAAAAGGTAGAAAACACGAATAAAGAAGCTACTATGAAAAACTGAAAAATTTATCAAAGAATTACTTTACAGAAACTCCTGTGCCAGACAGTTTTGAGATTTCATTCAAACTTTCAAGAGAACTAAAATCTCCATGCTATTGAAATGGCTCTAGGCAAAGAATAACATGAATGCCTACTTTATGTTATAAATCCAACATAACCCTGAGTCCAAAATGTGAAAAGGGGGAACAGACATCTGTAGTAAAATTTGAAAGTGATGCAAACATCCTTAATAATATATTACTGGACCAAAATCAGCAGCAAAATTAAAAGATTTACAATGACCAAGTAGGGCTTATCCAGGAAATGCAAGGATCATTTATGAAGAGATTAATGCAACATTTTACATAAATATTTTTAAGGAAAAACAGGAATTATAATTTTAGTAGGGGATGAAAAGACAGTAAATAAAACTCAGTTCAAATGTCAATTTGAAGTATATTCTATAATCCCAAAATTTGTTTTCTGGGAAAATTAAGAAATTGAATTTTTTTTTAACCCTAGTAAAACTTTATCTCTTAAGTCAACATTATTCATAACAGTGAAAAACTAAAAACAATTTCTTTTAAAACCAGAGGCAAGGCTGGGCACGGTGGCTCAAGCCTGTAATCCCAACACTTTGGGAGGCCGAGGCGGGTGGATCACGAGGTCAAGAGATCGAGACCATCCTGGTCAACGTGGTGAAACCCCATCTCTACTAAAAATACAAAAAATTAGCTGGGCATGGTGGTGCGTGCCTGTAATCCCACCTACTCAGGAGGCTGAGGCAGGAGAATTGCCTGAACCCAGGAGGCGGAGGTTGTGGTGAGCCGAGATCACGCCATTGCACTCCAGCCTGGGTAACAAGAGTGAAACTCTGTCTCAAAAAAAAAAAAAAAAAAAAAAAAAAAAACCAGAGGCAAAAGCAAACACATAAGATGCCCATGATCAAGCTTGATCACACATTGCACTGTTCTGAAAATTATGAGTAATGTAATTAGTATGAAACCTGAAAAATATATGATTGGAAAGGAAAAAAATATTTTGTATAATAGTGCAATTATGTTCTTGTAAGACTCCAATGAATCCATTTGGAAAATATGTATCTTTTAACTTCATAGAAGTATTTTTAAAATCTGTATGTTTTGTATATATTAGCAATAATCTATGCTAAAATGACAAAGCCATTCAGAATGGTAAACAACATGTAAAATTCTGAGGAAAAATCTCTGAAAAATAAGTACAATTGATGGGATCTACCCAAAAATTTGCTGAAAAATAACAGTAAGTATTTTCAATATATAGGCAAAAATATATTCATGGATGAGAAAAATTGTACTTTAATTCTTCTGAAATTAATTTGAGTTTAATTTAATTTCAATTAAATTCTTAGTGGATTTTTTTTGGAACTTAATTACTGGATTTTTAAGTTCACCTGAGTGAAAAAGCAATAATAATATAAACAAAATAGTCATGAGAAAACAGCTGAGAACTTTTTTTTTTTTTGAGATGGAGTCTTGCTTTGTCACCCAGGCTGGAGTTCAGTGGTGCAATCTCAGCTCACAGCAACCTTCACCTCCTGGGTTCGAGAGATTCTCCTCCCTCAGCCTCCTGAGTAGCTAGGACTACAGGTACTCACCACCACACTAGGCTAATTTTCTGCTTTTTGGTAGAGATGGGTTTCACCTTGTTAGCCAGGATAGTCTCAATCTCCTGACTTCGTGATCAGCCTGCCTCAGCCTCCCAAAGTGCTGGGATTACAGGCATGAGCCACCGTGCCCAGCCCTGAGAACTTTTTAAAACGAGGGTTCAGGAGATAATTTTCCTACAAAAAGATTTATAGATCAAAACATAGAACATCAAAATTGTGTGATAGAAGCAAAAGAATAAAGGTCAGTAGAGGTGAGTCATGGTGAGATGACAGCTGAGAAGGTGGTAGCAGAGATAAAGAAGTGAGGCTTAGAGAGGGGAAGGTTAGAGGTGGGCTTCAGCACTGGTTCATAACCAACCCACACGGAAAGCCTCACAAAATAATGAGGGAGCAATAATTGTTATTAAGTATATTTTAATGGAGACATTCAGTAGTGAATTTCTACCACTTGGTGAAGGGAATAAAATTGCAGTCTCAACTGAATTTCTAAAAGCTAATTCTGGACTGATAAAGAGTTAAAACCAAAAACAAACAGCAAATACACAAACCCAGAAATCTAGCAGCTGCCATATGGGTAAGGGCCCAGCCATCTCAGATCAGCCACGATGTCTCCCCAGGTCCCTCCATTGCCAAGTCCAATGGGACCCAGTGCTGAAGATCATTGGCAACCTACCCCACCTCCAACTCTGCTTTCACCTCGCCAGCTTAAAATGCTCTCCACTTGCCCATTTGGGACCTGGTGCTGAATCCTATCTCTAGCACTCCCCACCCACTTCTCCATCTCTGCTACCACCTCCTAAGTCCCAGTTATGCCCCCATGGACCACCTGGGATTCTGCAGAAGCCCATCTCTGACCTTTCCCACCTCTCCATCTCTGCTGCCACCTCACTAGTCCTGGCCATGCTCACTTCACCCACGGGTGACAGAGCACCAAAGCCCATCTCTAAGCTTCCCCACCTCCCCAGCACCACTGCAATCCTCTCCATAGATTTTCTGGTTTGCATCCCTCCCATGCTTTCTCCTCCCAGCAGCCCATGTGCCACTCACAACCCATAACTCTCTGTATTATTTCCATTTACCTCCCTTCCTGACCATTCTGTGCACTCACGATTTATCCCCAAAAGCAACACCTGTGCTGCCTCATTCCTCCCGCCCTGTTTCCTCGCCACAGCTCTGCTGCTCCAACTACATTGCCTTCCATCAGTTTCTCAAAAGCAAGAAGCTTGGAAAGAAAATGGGATGGAAGAAAGCTAGTTCTTTCATTGGGTAATGAAAGAGCTAGCTGAGACAATTTAAAAAAAAGATAGATTTGATCACCTAAAACTTTAAACCCTTTCTACATAAAAATCATCAAAATAATCAAAGATGAACTGGAGGGAAAGATTTGCAACAAACAACTGGAGGATTCAGGAACATTTAACAAGGCTCCCTGAGTCAGCGAGATATGAACAAAGATTCCAACTGGAGCCTGGGTTGGAATATGCACAGGCAATTCCACAAAAAAATGCCTAAGACAGATGAATATGTGAAAGATTTTCTTATTTAAACAAATGAAAGGTTGTACTATGGTGGCGTGTGCCTGTAATCCCAGCTACTCAGGAGGCTGAGGCAGGAGAACTGCCTGAATCCAGGAGGCGGTGGTGAGCCGAGATCACGCCATTGCACTCCAGCCTGGGTAACGAGAGCGAAACTCTGTCTCAAAAAAAAAAAAAAAAAAAAAGAGTATTTTTTACCTATTATTTTAGTAAAGATGTATTTTTCCTTTTCTTAATGTTGTTTTGAGTTTTAACTTACATATAGTAAAACATTCAAATGTTCAACTTTTACATTTTTGTAGAATACTTTATGTTTTATGTAGTTTTTACATCCATGTAGTCACACTCAGATCAAGGTACCATCATTTAAAGTATCCCAGAAGCTTCTATTCTCCTTCCTAGGATATTAGCTTCTTAGTTAATATTCTCCTCATAAGAAATAATCAGTATTCTGATCTGTCTCCATAGATTCATCCTTCCTGTTCTTGGATTTGATAAAAAAGAAATTGCACAGAATGTACCTTTTCTGTGTCCGTCTTCTTTGGCTCAACACACCACGTGATGTTCATCAGCAGCAGTGGCTTTGCTGGTTTCTTTTAAAAAGTGCTGTGTGGTGCCTCACGTAGGGAACACTGCAATGGCTCTCTTTATTCCCTGGTTGATAGACTTTAGGGTTGTTTCCATGATGGGTCTAGTATGAATAGTTCTGCCATTAACTATTTTTGTATGTGAACTTTGATGGGCATATATATTTATTTCTCTTAGATATAAACCTTGGAGATTTCCCGGGTTACAGATTAGGCAGGCATTTATCTATACTAGACAATGACAAATAGTTTTTTCAGTTATTACTCTAAGAACTGATGTTCCAGCCTATCAAAATGAAGTCCGGTGCTATTGTAACTGATATAGAAAGAAAATAGAATTCTGCTTCCTTTTCTTCCATTTCTCCTCATTTCCTCTCTTCTAACCCTTCATCTGCCCTCTCCACCTTTTTCCATTCCCATCCCCTTTGCCCCTCCTCCCACGCCATTTCAGACCGCTTAACAGCTGGAAGATGCTTCTGGCCTAAGCAAGCCCTTAAACTAGATTCTGAACTCCTTTCATCAGCAACTGCCTAATTAGAGGCACACTCTGTGGTTGAGGGAAGTGTTTACCGGCCTAATGTGCCTCACAGAGCTTCACTTCTGCTGGTAATTACCTCCAGCTTCCCGTTAACAGAGGGACAAGAACGTCTGTATCAAGAGTAATGAGAAAGCCCTCGCACAGAGTCCTCTGGGTCTGAAACAGAAAGCAGGGAGCCAGACGCAGGGAGCCAGACGATGTTTGCTCCGTGAGCCATCTTTTACTCTCTGATCGGAGGGAGAGCGTGTAGCTCCTTGACAACTCCTGTCACCTGTCTGTTGTCCAAAAGAGATGACTTAGTTTCTCTTTCTAGAGTTGGGAAGGTCTCTATCCAGCGTTCATTACTTAAATAGGAGAAAATGCAGAGTAGAGCATAGATCCCTAAACATAGACACTGAGGCATGTTACAAAGTTAGTTAGCTCCCAATAATTAAAGAACCAAAGTGTCCAAATGACTGCCTTTTCCAGTAGAAATAAGATTCAAGTTGTAGTCATCTGTTCCCTCACTGCTATAAAGAACTACCTAAAACTGGATCATTTATAAAGGAAAGAGGTTTAATTGACTCACAGTTCTGCAGGCTATTCAGGAGTTGTGACTGGGGAGGCGTCAGGAGACTTACAATCATGGCAGAAGGCAAAGAGGAAATACAGAGTTGGAGCCCTCACATAGAGTCCCCACTGGGGCACTGCTTTGTGGAGCTGTGAAGCAAAGTATCACATCTCTCAGTGGGAGCAGAAGGGAGAGAGAGAAGGGGATGTTGCTACATACTTTTAAACAACCGTATCTCATAAGAACTCACTCACTATCATGAGAACTGCAAGGGGGAAATCTGTTCCCATGCTCCAACCACCTCCCACCAGGTCCCTCCACTAACACTGGGGATTACAACTCAACATAATATTTGTGTGAGGACATAGAGACAAACCATATTATTCCATCCCTGGCCCCTCCCAAGAATCATGTCCTTCTCACATTTCAAAACACAATCATGCCTTAATTCAGCATTAACGCAAACGTTCAAGCTGAAGTCTCATCTGAGACAAGGCAAGCCCGAACAATCAAAAACAAGCTAGGTACTCCCAAAAATCAATGGGGGTACAGGCATTGAGTAAATGCCTCCATTCCAAAAGGGAGAATTTGGCCAAACAGCCAGCCTACAGGCCCCGTGCAAGTCTAAAACCCACAGGGCACTTATCTTAAGGCTCCAAAATAATATCCCTTGACTCCATTTTTCACTTTCAGGCCTCACTGATGAAAGGGATGGGTTCCCAAGGCATCGGGCAGCTCCACCCCTGTAGCTCTGCAGGGTAGCCCCCAAGGCTGCTTTCACAGGCAGGCATTGAGTGCCTATAGCTTTTTCAGGTGCATGGTGCAAGCTGTTGGTGGATCTATCATTCTGGAGTCTGGAGGATGGTGGCCCTCTTCTCACAGCTCCACTAAGCAGTGCCCCAGTGGGGACTCTATGTGAGGGCTCCAACCCCACATTTCCCCTCTGCACTGTCTTAGTAGAGGTTCTCCATGAAGGCTCTACCCCTGCAGCAGACTTCTGCTGGGCATCCAAGTGTTTCCATACATTCTTTGAAATATATGGAAGGCTTATAGGCAGAGGCTTATAAGCCTCAACTCTAGCCTTCTGCACACCCACAGACCCAACACCACGTGGAAGCCACCAAGGCTTGGGGCTTGCACCCCCTGAAGCAATGGCCTGAGCTGTACATTGGCCCCTTTTAGCTGCAGCTAGAGCTCAAGTGGCTGGGACACCATGCGCCATGTCCCAAAGCTGCAAAGAGCAGTAGGTCCTTTTGACTCCTAGGACTCTAGGCCTGTGATGGGAGGGGCTGCCATGAAGGTCTTGCAAATGCCCTGGAGGTATATTCCTCCTCGTCTTAGCTATTAACATTCAGCTCTTCACTTGTGCAGATTTCTGCAGCCTTTCTCCCTAGAAAATGGGTCTTTCTTTTCTGCTGCATAGGCAGGCTGCAAATTTTCCAAACTTTTATCTTCTCCTTCTCTTTTAAACATAAATTCTAGTTGTAGGTCATTTCTTTGTTTATGCAAGTGAGTGTAAGCTTTTAGAAGTAGCCGGGCCACCTCTTGAATGCTTTGCTGCTTAGAAGTTTCTTCTGCCAGATAACTGTAAATCATCTCTCTCAAGGTCAAAGTTCCACAAATCTCTAGGGCAGGGGCAAAATCCTGCCAATCTCTTTGCTAAAGCGTAGCAAGAGTGAACTTTGCTTCAGTTCCCAATACCTTCCTCATCTCCTCTGAGACCTCCTCAGCCTAGACTTCACTGTCCATGTCACTATCAGCCTTTTGATCACAACCATTCAACAAGTCTCTATGAAGTTCCAAACCTTCCCTTATCTTCCTACCTTCTGATTCCTCTAAACTGTTCCAAGCTCTGCCCATTACCGAGTTCTGAAGTCGCTTCCACATATTCAAGTATCTTTATAGCAATACCCCACTTCTCTGGTATCAGTTTTCTGTACTAGTTCATTCTCACACTGCTATACAGAACTATCTGAGACTGGGCAATTTATGAAGAAAAGAGGTTTAATTGTCTCACAGCTCTACAGGAAGTACAGAAAGCATGGCTGGAAACTGACAATCACAGGCCTCAGGAAACTGACAATCACAGCAAAAGGCAAAGAAGCCGCCACCCATGACAGAGCAGGAGAGAGCAGAAGGGAAGTGCTACACAATTTTTTTTTCTTCTTTTTGAGATGGAGTCTCGCTCCGTCACCCAGGCTGGAGTGCAGTAGCACAATCTCGGCTCGCTGCAAACTTTGCTTCCCGGGTACAAGCAATTCTCTTCCTCAGCCTCCTGAGTAGCTGGGATTACCGGCACCTGTCACCACACCTGGCTAATTTTTGTAGTTTTAGTAGAGACAGGGTTTTACCATCTTGGCCAGGCTGGTTTTGAACTCCTGACCTTGTGAACCACCTGTCTTGGCCTCCCAAAGCGCTGGGATTACAGGTGTAAGCCACCATGCCCAGCCAGTGGTACACATTTTTAAACAACCAGATGTCATGAGAATGCACTCACTATAACAAGAAAAGCAAAGAGAAAATCTTCCCCCATTATCCAATCACCTCCCACCAGGTTCCTCTCCCAACACTGGAGATTATGATTCGACATGAGATTTGGGTGGGGACACAGAGCCAAACCGTATCACAAGTCTTAGAGTAGTATTACGCTCACTTACATCCAATAGTGACATATTTAACTCTCTTCAGCAGCCATGCTGTGCCAGGAAATGGGGATTCAGGTCCAAAGAAAGTCTAAGTGGACCCTGATGTTGTTCTATATTAATCAGATGATCGCTCAACTGTTTGCTTAGTAACTGCATCGGGAAGGAGTGCAGAGAGGAGGAAGTGATCATTAAGAAGGCACAGATGTGCCATCCCAAAATATGCTGAATCAGTGTATTGATTATTTTAAGCTGAAAACATTGGAGAAATTATAGTTTCAGAAAAGGAGAGCTGATCTGTCCTTTTCTACATGTAGCAAGCCATAAATATTACTCCGGGAGGGTACCTCCCCTATACCAGGGTGAGAAAATAGCCCTCATCATCAGAAGACTGGGAGTTCGGGCTGGAATCAACTTCCCAAATTAACGCTTGTTTTCCACCCTTTTATGTCTCCTAGTGGCTCCCCTAGAACTTACTGCTCCTAGCCAGATCCCCTTTGTCCTGACATTTCTTCACAAATTTGTTCTTTGTCTAAAATGTATAAAAGCATCTTGTGTGGCCATTTTGTTGGATGTCACTCTCTTATGAAGTGCCCCAGCTACATGTAAACATAATAAACTTGCTAATCTGCCTGCAGCAGACTTCTGCTGGCATCCAAGTGCTTCCATACATTCTTTGAAATCTACACAGAGGCTTCCAAGCCTCAACTCTAGCCTTCTGCACACCCTCAGACCCAACACCATGTGGAAGCTACAGAGGCTTGGGACTTGCACCCCCTGAAGCAGTATCATCTGCTTTCTTTTTTCTCTTGTTAATCTGTCTGGTATCAACTTGGTTCCTAGACCCAGCTGAAGAACTAACATAAGAGCTAAGGAGGATTGGAGGCGATCTCGCCTTCCCCTACATTCTGCACAATGAGGGAGCAATGTGGCAGGGAAGGCCTAGGAGGCGGCTGCTTTGGGGTGGGAGAGAAAGGGAAGAATTATAATAGGGTACCAGAAATCACGAATCTACCTGGAAGCTCCCTCTCAAATATCACAGGTATGTGAAAGATTTTTCTAGTTTCATTTGTTGGGTCAAAAAAAGAGAAACAGTCTAACAGCAATGATTGTGTGTGTGTGTGTGTGTGTGTGTGTGTACACACTTGCTATGAGCCATGCGATGTTCTAAAACTAAAGGCATTTTTCTCATTTAATCCTCACATTCATTTTTGATGTAGGCAATTTTATATTCCCCATTGTACAGATGTGGGAACTGAGGCAGAAACCGTTACATAAACTCCACAAGGCCACCCTGCTAGTGAGTGAGGAGCAAAGGATGCAAAGGATTCTTGTCTTTTGTGGAAGCAGCAGCAGCAGCAGCCATCATTTGTCTTGAACTTGACCTCTGGTGGCAAATCTACTATTAACCCAGGGATTTCTCACCCAGATGTAGTGAAGCCAAGAGACTCCTCATAGGACACTTCTTTCCAGAGACCACGGTTTCCGGCCATGATGTTGTCCAACCAACATTCTGAGAAATGTCCACCCCAGGAGCCTGCAGAAGCCCAGACACGACATGAGCAACTATGTGTAGTAACATGTCACGGGAAGCCTGCCTATTCAGCAGTGCCACCCAGGGAAACATCAGGGTAGCAAGCAGAACTTTACTCCACAAAATTCAGGGTAAAAAATGTTCAGCATATGTTCTTTTTCTGAATCAATTGGATTCTGGCTCCTAGGACCATGAGTGGGTAGATCATTCCTCTCCCTAAGGTCACCAGGGAGCTCAGAGAGAATCAGTACAGAAAATGTGAGCAGCTGTTTTTTCCTGCTGCAGGCCCACTCTCCCTGAACAGCAGCCTCTCTGCCCAGCCCTAAAGCTCACCTTCACCAAGAACAAAGGCTCATTCATCTTATCCTGGGACAAGTGAAATTAATTTCTCCATTTGCTGGGTGGCAGAAGTAAAATAATACACCACTTGGATTTTTTAACTGATGAGTTGAAGACAGAATCCAACTATTCCCCCTGCCCCGCATTGTGTGTGTGTGTGTGTGTGTGTGTGTGTGTGTGTGTGAGAGAGAGAGAGTGCCAGAGTGCACAAGAGCACACGAGAGCGTGGAAGAAAAAATTAACTAGAAGAGAATCCTCCAAATATAAATACCAATCATCAGGGCTATATATTAGGATTTCAGGTTTTTCTTCCCATTTTTATGCTTTTATACTTTTTCTTTTTTGAAATTAACTTGTATTTCTGCCATAATCAGAAAGGAAACCAAAGGAGTTCTCTCTGTCTAGCTCCGCCCCCCGGCCCCAGCCCCTCCCGTTGTCACTCAGGTCTGTGTAATCGCACAATGCCTTTACTGAAAACAGCCTCCTGGAATCCCCCCACACTACCAGCTGCATCTTTGTTTCCTTCTAACTACTACCATTGGCTGCTATTATCATCACCAGCTTTCCTCCTGTCTCTCCCGAAAAACAGAAGCTCACAAAATGAATCCTTTCATTTTCTGCCAATCAATCGATGGCTAATGACTCTGACCCCCGCCCTGGAGTCCAGAATTAAAAGGGAATTTTCTTGGGACCACATGAGTCTCAGGCCCAAAGGAAGGAGAATGGCCGTTGAGACAGATGTATCTTCGACGTCCCGGAACTCGTTCTGCAATTTCGTCTGTTTTGACAAGAGTAATTTAGTTCTAATTACCGACAGTAATTATTTCTCAACCCACAGTGGGAAGCTGTCCGGCTTGTAGCTATGGTGGATTCCAAGGGACTCTATTTTGGCTGTGTTTTTATTGCGGAACAGTTTGAACCCTGGGCTCTCTTGTAAGAATGGCTAAGCCTGGAGATAAAGGGGTGAAGGGGAGGAGGAATTCCAGGCAGGAGGCAAACAGCCAAGGGAGACCAGGCTGACAGGACTTCAGGGCCAGGAGACCCAGTTCTGCATCTAACTTGCTGTGCAGATGCGGGCCTCTTTGAGCCTCTGTTTTCTCATCTGTTAAATGGTGATAAGGTAGGCTAGTTGTGAAGATAGGAGAGAAAGTTCCAGAAGAGAGGACCTTTTTGAGCTCTGACCTCCCAGCACTCTTTCTAGCTTCCTTGGGTCACTCCACTCTCATTTCCTTCTAGGACCTTCCTCCTCCCCCATCCTCTGTTCAAGCACCTCAGCAGGCAGCCCTCACCTGGCCCACATAGTCCACAGTCAGCATGCAACGCTCCCGGCCCCTGAGCTCTCAGAGGCAGAATTTGTGTGTGAGCATCCTGCTACCATAGCCAGTGGAAATGTGTCCCTACCAAGGGGAGGCCACACAAGGAAAGAGAAATATCAAGTTTTCTTTCATTTGAAAAAATTGTCAGTTCACGCTAATTGTGTCTATTTGTGGAGTAAAATGCTTTGATCTAGTTACACATTATAGAAAGACTCAATCGAGCTAATTAACATATCTATCACCTCCACCAATTATTTTTTTTGTCGTGTGAACGTTAAACATCTATTTAGCACTTTTGAAATATGCATTATTATTGACTGTGGTCACAAGGCCATACAATAGATCACTAAAAGTCACCCCTCCAGGTTAATGGAAGCTTTGGGCCCTTTGATAAACGTCTTCCCTTTCTCCATCTTTCCTCCTACCCAGCCTCTGGTTACCACCCAACGACTCTCTGCTCCTATGAGATTGACTTTCTTTTTTTTTTTAACTTAAGACTCAAGCTTGGCCAGGCGCTGTGGCTCATGCCTGTAATCTAAGTACTTTGGAAGGATGAGGTGGGTGAATAACGAGGTCAGGAGATCAAGACCATCCTGGCCAACATGGTGAAACTCTGTCTCTGCTAAAAATACAAACATCAGGCAGATATGGTGGTGTGCACCTGTAGTCCCAGCTACTCAGGAGGCTGAGTCAGGAGAATCGCTTGAACCCAGGAGGCAGAGGTTACCGTGAGCCAAGATGGTGCCACTGCACTCCAGTCTGGGTGACAGAGCAAGACTGTCTCAAACAAACAGAAAAAGACTCAAACTATATTTATTCAATGTAGGAAAACTGAACAATTCATGCTCATCCGAAGGTCCTTTTTTTTTTTTTAAACAAAACAAATTAATTGCTGCATGACAGATGCACTATTTTAAGCATGATCTCCTAAAGCATTAGCTCCGTGGGACAGGGGTTGGGGACTAGGGCTGCTCGGGTATTTACATGATGAAATCTTAATTTCCTTTCAGTTCTCACAGTCTTTTTGCATCATGTGGAAACTATAAGCCTCCTGACAGGCAGAGTAGAGTATGCAAGATCTGGAAGTGTAGTTCAACAAGCCTGACACCACAGGGCACTGTCACATGAAGAGACTAAGCAGAGGCGACACTCTCCCGGCCTCTGTTCATGAGTTGTTTCGTGCCTTACACAAACCTGTGAAGTAGGGTTATTACCCACATTTTACAGATGAGAAAACTAAGGCTTGGAGAGGTGACATAACCTCTACAACACTGCCCGTGAGAGAGCAGTATAGTCAAGGTCTGCAGGCAAGCCTGAGAACTTGAAGGGCAGGCCCACCCAGCACCAGGCACAGCTCTGAGCAGGCTTGGAAGCCGCAGCTGCAGGCTTGGAAGTGGCAGCTGCAGGCTCAGAAGCGGCAGCTGCATCCCAGTTTCCTGGTGCTTGGATGGCAGCTTAGCTATTTCGCTGCCGGAGCCAATAGTTTCCAGGATTGGAGCTTGATTTCCTGCCTTCTTGGTTGTGGCAGAGGAGGCACCTCCAGAGGCAAGGCCGTTCTGCAGTGCTGTTCTGGAGTGTTCTCAGCCACAAGTTGATGGCTTTTCCTCTAACCCCTCCAAGGTTTCGAAAGACTCCAATGCTGTATTTAAAAGACTTCTTGCTAAAAGCATCTAAAGCTGTTTCTGTTAACTGCAACTAATTTCTGATTAAGTCAACTCTCAACTTCACCTACCACACACATTCTTCTCTTTCTTAGGAAAATGAGGCAAAGAAATACCCAAAGTGACTATTTAAACACAAAGCGGCTCTTCCTCGGGGTTTATTTTCATTTCTTTTTCCCACTGAGTTCCATTTTCTCGCCATGGGATAGCTGTGACTTGGATGAGTCTGGGGCTGTTGATTTCACCTCTTCCTTCTACTTCGCTGCACAATTGCTCACAGCACACATTTATTTAAGGAGCAGAAAGAATCTTCTCTCTTAGGTACCTTCTAATTATAAATTAGCATTTAGGAAGCCCTTACACATTTACCAAGGACTTAGCAAAAATATTTCATTAGCTATTCTTCCTGCGACCACTCTGGGATCTGGATAGAGCCTCAGAATTCATCTGGGGAGAGGCTACAAATCTGTGAGTCCTGAGCAAGGAGCAGCATATTCCAGAATCCAGAGATAGTTCTGGCCCCATCTTCATTTCCTCCCTGCTGAAGGCAGCTTGATTCCCTGGAACGCTCAGGCCTAGGTTAAGCATTTCCCATTTCCTTCTCAGTACTGTAATCATGGACATTTATTTAAGTATGCAATGCCATGGTTTCCTTGACTCTGAAACTAGAATTAAAATAGTTCCTACTTTGTAAAATTAAAATGACGTGTCTACTTCACTCAGAACAGGTCCAAGCAAAAGTACATTCTAGATACACATTTGCCGTTATTATTCATTTTAATTTATGAGACGGATATCATTTCTCTGTTTTACATTTGAAGAATCTAAGGTTCATACAAGTGAAATCACTTACCTAAAGTTTCTGCTGTCACCTCCTGTCTGGTCGGACAAAATACCAGTTCTGTTTTCTGGCCCAGCTTAAATTCACCATTCTCTGTGATGTGTTTATGCGTGTGCATGGGCACACACACACACACACACACACACACACACACTCTCTCTCTCTCTCTCCCTCTCTCTCTCTCTCCGGGTTACATGTATTTGTAATATTTCCCTTCACTCTATTTTTTGTAACTTGTAAGACACAACACATTTTGCTATAGACTTTTAACAAGGGTACTGACACCTGCTTCTTTAAAAATTTCAAGAGTTTAGAAAACAGAGAGCCTATCAGCCATTGCTGAATGCCCCAGTGGCTACTAGCACAGCGCCTTCCATGTAACTGTAACATTCATAATGTGTATGTGGATTTGTGGATTATACCACCTTCTGCCTGTGTCCCATCGAGTTTCCACCAGCTCCCTATGAATTACACATTATTGTCCACAACTTACAATAAAGAAACGGAGGCCAGGGGAGGTCGCATCACGCAGTCTGTGAAACACAGAGCTAGGGTTTGAACGCAAGCCTGATGCCAGAGCTCATGACTATTTAATGCACTGCTGTTCTTTCAATAAGCAGCCTCAACAGAGTGGACTCAGATGGGATGGGATGGCATGGCGTGGAGAGCAGAGGAGTGCCATCAAATGGATGAGAAAGACAACACAGTGAGGAGAGAGAAGGAGAGAATGGCTATGTCGGGAGAACAGCACACGTCATCAGAGAAAGAAAGCAGGAAAAGCAGTACAGCCTGACCACTGGATCACATTTTTACGAAGAAGCCACTTGCCCCTTCCTTTTCTTCAAGGCTCTTAGGAGTATTAAAATGAGAAGAAAAAAAAGTCTAGAGAATGCTCAGGAAGCAACAGTGTTCCCTAGAAAGTCAGGATGGTTCATCTTGTCCCAGTGATGAGGGAAATGACAAGGCTGGGTGCTCCCCCTTTCTGAATGTCCTGACTTAACCATGCTGACATCAAGACCACTGAGAGCAAGCGGGTATTTCCTCTTCTTTCACCAAATGCAAAATTCCTTTCTCCTTCTCTCCACCAAGCTGATAATTGGCAGAACAGAAGAGGACTAGACTACCAGGCTCAGGTGCAACAGGAAGAGACGGGAGACTGGTTCCAGAGATGAGCGTGGGCCCAGTTCCTGACAGGTCATTAATTCCATTGGGGTGGCAGGCATCGGGGGGTTGGCATGCAAAAATCCAGGCCCATAATTTTGGTCAGCAGCTGGGTGCCCAGAAAGAAGGTAGCAAGGACCCTCTTCACAAGAATAGGTTTTATATCAGGATTCCATTTTTTAATGAATTTTGTGCAGAAAAACAAATGGGTACCCTTTCCACAGGCAGAATACTGTGCCACAGCTAAGAACTAAGATACAAAGAAAAGTCTTGGTCACATCAACTATTCAAAAACCCAGAAGCAAGTCTAGGAGCAAAATCTCTTGGATGCGAAGTCACTGAAACGCCTCACCGGCAGTTGAACAAGCATTAGGACTGACCAGGCCGCTGTGCTGGGTGTAAGTCAAGAGGTTCCATCCACATGCACTCTGGACCCTCTCCCCTGGCCCTACCTGGTTTCACAGCAAGTTAAGGTCCCAGCTAAAATAATAAATGCAAAGTAGGTATGAGTTTGGAGTCTTAAAATCCCAGCCTAAACGATGGACCCACTGCCTATTCAGATATTCCAGATTCCGAGCATAAAAATACCGACGATTAAACATATGGTACGATCAGGGACCAAGGCCACTCATTAATTCATTCTGTTTTTCTTTATCAAACATGACAAATAAAAGATCGTTTCTGCTTTGAAGGTGCTCACACAAGACAGACATGTAAATAAATTATGCACTTTGAGTAAAGTGCCATGCCACAGGCACTTGTTACTTCCAGTTTACTGAAAGCTCAGAGGAGGAGCATCTTAATCAGACTTGGGGGAGTGAGGGCAGGCTTCCAGAAAGAGATGAGGCTCAGCTCAAATATTGTAGAAGAATGAGTCCAGGGCCGGGCGCGGTGGCTCAAGCCTGTAATTCCAGCATTTTGGGAGGCCGAGGCGGGTGGATCACGAGGTCAAGAGATCGAGACCATCCTGGTCAACATGGTGAAACCCCGTCTCTACTAAAAATATAAAAAATTAGCTGGGCGTGGTGGCGCATGCTTATAGTCCCAGCTACTCAGGAGGCTGAGGCAGGAGAATTGCCTGAACCCAGGAGGCAGAGGTTGCGGTGAGCCGAGATCGCGCCATTGCACTCCAGCCTGGGTAACAGCAGCGAAACTCTGTCTCAAAAAAAAAAAAAAAAAAAGGAGTCCAGTGGACAGATAAAGGGGAGAACATGTTGGAAAATACTTCGTTTACCCAGCATATATTTGTGGAGTTCATATCAGGTGCCAGACATTCTGCTGAGGAGGAGGATATAGCAGTGAACAAATAAAGATGGAAACATGGTCCCTGTGTAACCACGTCGCAGGACGCAGGGGTTCAGCTCCCTCCCCATTGGATGCACTCAGGTCCTTGGCCTCCCTTGCCCCAGGAATGGGGGAAGGGGCCCTGGAGGTGCGGTGAGCTTACTGTTTGAATTAATATTGTGGACCCAAGAGTTTAGCAGAGAGTGATTTATCAGGCAGAAAGAGAGAAGGAGAGAGGGCGCTCCCAAGCTGGTGGGAAGGGAATCCGGAGGGGATATCAGTATAGGGAGAGAGGGAGAGACGGCTCCCAGGTTGCCATGGGAGGAGATCCCAGAGAGGGAAATCCGCATAGGGAAGGGAGCAGGGACATTTTTAACCCCGACGTTATTCGCTCCACATTCACGTTCTTGTCCAGTGAGAGGAGTTCTTTCAAACTTCCTCTGGACTGACTGATATTCAACTCTGATGTCAGATTGGTTGCTTGGGCCCCAAACAGAGCCCCTCCTCCCAGGTTTTTTGGAGGGCTTTCTGAACACAAGAGGCTCTCCTGGAAATTTCTACCTAGCCCGCTTGCGGGAGAGTTAGGCAAAGAACTTTACGTTCCCCGACGGTGGAGTGAATGCAGCTATGGCGCTGGGAAATTCCTGCCTTTGAAACACAGGCAATTTTCCCTAACACGGTCCCTCACCTGGTTTCACGGAAATTGCACCTACGTATATCACCATAGACACTATGTAAACACTCAATTGGTACCTGTTAAGAAATTTGAGAGAGACTTTATAGAGGATTATTGCAAGAGCATCAAAATGAACGAGGGTCAAAGAAAAGCCAGAATGGAGCCTGGTACGTATACTATTAATGGCTGAGAACCAAAGTCCCAGAGAACAGGCTGGTGTGACAGGTAGCCGGTCAGTGCTCCAAGATAGTCACATGCTGTAGCCACATTGCTGAGTCTTTTCAAAACCTCGTGAAAAGAAGTCAGTAGGTATAATGGAAGGTGAACTCCCAGGTACTCACTTGGAGCAGAAGAAAGATGTTAAGGAGGTAGAGCATTCTCTCACTTCAGCAACCAAGAGGCAGGGAGGTAGAGAGAGGGTGACCCTTCAGCTAGAAGCCACCTGGCGTCTTCTATCAAGTACGAGGAAATACTCGGTGCCAGGAAGTAGGAGGGAATGGTGGACCCAGCCTTTGGTAAATCCTTATGAGCCATCCCATGGACTCCTGAAGACAAGGATAGAAGGATCTGGGAGGGTTAGAATCCTGAGGACTCCATGGTGGGAACTGAGCCAGGGTAACAGTTTTGGTCCAGCTCCAGAAACGTCATGATACCCTGACTCAAAGGCTGCCACTGTTTAGTCAGCAAGTTTCCCTCTCTCTTTTAAGATCATAACACTAGAGCTCAGACTGAGATTTCTTGAAAAGTCAAATGGGCAAGAAAAGAAAGTAAGCCAGACCCACCAGGATGCCTCAGCTGCTGGAGCCCAGAGCTCTCTTCTCATAAGGAAGGCAGGCTGGCTGCCTTCACCAGCAGTACTCAGGTTTCCCAGAAGGCCTGTTGTGACATCACCCATTATCTCCGCAGAAGATGCATGGCAATGCATGGCTGATCTTGGAAACAAGAGGGCTCTAGCTATTTCTACTGGATGCCAGCATCCAACAGCTCTTTCTTCTCTCCATCTTCATACTCTCCCTCCCACTCGTATTTCTAAACATCTTACCTCTTCCTACCACCCATGAAGGTTATCTTACCTGTCTTTGCCATCAACACTATGCTCACATAGTGTTAGCTTCGGATGCCCCCAAAATAAATCCGGAAATTCTCACCACTACCTGCAAGGTGTTTTGCAGGGCGTACAGGCAGAGGCCAGCATGTGGTACAGGAAGGGGATCCCCAACACCCCGCAGAAACAGTTCCTGAATCTCACACAAGAAAGAATTCAAGGCAAGTGCATGAAATGAAAGCAAGTTTATTAGGAAAGTAAAGGAATGAAAGAATGGTTACTCCATAGACAGAGCAGCCCCAAGGATAGGTGGTTGCCTATTTTTACGGTTTTTTCTGCAATACATGCTGAACAACGAGTGGATTATTTATACCTCCCCTTTTTAGACCATATAGGGTAACTTCCTGATGTTGCCATGGCATTCGTAAACTGCAATGGCACTGATGGGAGTGTAGCAGTGAGGACAGCCAGAGGCCACTGTCATTGCAGTCCTGGTTTCAGTGGGTTAGAGGTGGCTTCTTTACTGTAGCTTGTTTTATCAGCAAGGTCTTTATTACCTGTATCTTATGCCAATCTCGTATCTCATCCTGTGACTTAGAATGCCTTAACTGCCTGGGAATGCTGCCCAGTAGGTCTCAGCCTCATTTTACCCAGCTCCTATTCAAGATGGAGTTGCTGTGGGTGGTTCACACACCTCTGACATAAAGGAGACTGGGAGAGGAAGTTGGGAGGTTCCCACTCTGGTGTCAGCTCAGTATTTCGTGAAGGCACGGGGTGTTTTGTCCTGTTTTCCTGTTTTTTGTTGTGGTTGTTGTTGTTTACAGGGTCAGTCTCGGGATATCCTGAAGGCACAGTTTAGCCAGGAGGTAAGATAATGAAGAACAAACTCAAAGGCATCATGAAAGGGAGAAAGTGCCGCAAAGGGGGTGGCATTCAACCTCATTTTGTAAGTGACGAGAACTGGGGACACAGAGAAATTGCCCAGTAAATGTTACACACCACATGAGTGTGAACATGCTAGGAATCAGGTCCAATCTGAATTCTAAATCCACCTCAGAAATGACGTCATGCCCACAATAATCATCCGTTAACATTTGTTGACTGTTTACCGTGTGTCAAATCCTCCAGGTATATTTGACATAAATAACGCACCTAATCCTCACCAAAAAACATACAAAAGGTATGAGTATTCTATGAAGTACTCAAATTACCCACATTTTACATATGAAGAAAACTGAGGTCACAGTTAATGAGTGGTAGCACCAGGGGATTTGTACCTAGATGGCCAGCTGCAGAACTCAGGTTTGTCATTCTGTGACACGCTGACTTTCTAATTCTTGCTCATGATCAATCACCGCTTTGCTAAACCCTTGATGGAGAAATAGGCACAGGACAATGCCCAGAAAATCAAAGGCAAAGTCGCCTTTGGTTTTATTAGCTGAGTCTTAGGGTCAAATTTCCAATATGGAGATCTCTGGCAAGATGAGTAGGGCAATGTCTTTTTTCCTGAGAGAAGCTTAAATACTTCTAACCCTGACAAGATTCAAGAGGTCTGTCCTATTTTAACACCAAAGCTGTATTTCAGATCTTACCAGCATGAAGTAAGGTCACCTCCCTCCCAAAGAATGGGCCCAGTCCCTACTCTACATTCTGGATTGTAGGGAGCAGGAACTGATGGCTTGCAGAGGGATTTGAATGTGGAGAGTGAGTTTTGACCCAGTTGAAAAAGGTATCAGTGAAGGTGGCCAAAAATCACTTGTCCCAGGACCCCATCCCAGAATGATTTAAATCATATCATGAGGTCACTAAGACTAAGAAGACTCAGTGAGACATAAGTGTCCCAGAACTTTAAGCCGGTATGAGAAGAAAGCTTGCAGCTAAGTTTTCTGAAGTTTCAACTTTGACTCTGAATCTCCCCTTATTGCAGTCATATGTGAGGTCAAACGGGCTTCAGATATAGGAACCAGAGAGCTGAGGGGAAGATACTAAAGACAGCCCATGGCAAATGTGTTTAACTTCAAAAGGGGACATCTTGGAGCAACACTGTGGCCAGTGAGGAAGAAGTGAAGTTATTAACCAATCCCCACTAACTGGGGCTGATTTATTCCTTCCTCCCCTGCTATCGCGACACTCTGATGGAAGTCATATTCCTCCACTTTAACCATCACACAGGATGTGAAAACACCTGTGTTAGGGCCTCTGGGCAATGACACACCCTATTCTTGTAACTGCCCACAATCCAGCAATACTTAGGCTCAAGCTCTGTCTTTGTCTTTCTGCTCTGTGCAACACCGGGCATATTCCTTACCCTCCCCGATCTCCAGGTTCCCATCTGCAAAGCTAAGAATAGTCGTAGTACCTAATTCAGTAGGTGATTTTGAGGATTAAATGAAAGAGATGGTGTAAAATGTTCAGCATCTCATAATTTCTAACGTATTATTCTTTTGAAGCTGGGAAAGTGCTATTGAGACAAATCTTTTTTTTTTTTTTTTTTAAGACAGGGTCTCGCTCTGTTGCCCAGATTGGAGTGCAACAGTGGCATGATCTCGGCTCACTGTGATCTCGGCTCACTGTAACCTCTGCCTCCCGGGTTCGAGCAATTCTCTTGCCTCAGTCTCCTGAGTAGATGGGACTACAGGTGTGTGCCACCACTCCCTGGCTAATTTTTGTATTTTTAGTACAGATGGAGTTTCACCATCTTAGGCTGGTCTCGAACTCCTGGCGTCCTGATCAGCCCACCTCAGCCTCCCAAACTGCTGGGATTACAAGGCAGGAAACCCTGTTTCCGGCCAACAATTCTTAATTCACACCAACTCAGATATTTTCACTACCCTCAGATCTGTCTGTCTGCCCCACGAGGGAGCTTCAATCATCTCCCCACTAATCAGCAGCCGCCTTACACGGCAGACTTTTCCACAGTAGCCAGTGAGTGGACAGGATCATGTGACCCAGTGGGAAGGACAGACAGAGTGACTGGCAGGCAATCCAGGGGAGAGGGAGTCAGCGCTGGAGATGCTGGGGACAGTGCACGCTGCAATGCTCATACTGTCCCAGAAAATTTTAAGTTCCAGGACTGTTCTTCCCAGAGAGTTTTCAAAAAGGAAAAGGAGAGAAAGAGAAACACACAGAGAGAAGTACTATTTTACTGACTTTAAAAGCACTGACCTTTTAATCCGTTCTTCCAAAGTTTTGACGGTGTTTTGAGGTACCACAGGAACTAAGTGGAATGGGAGCTTTTACTCTTTTATTGCTTTTATTCTTAGCCTCATCATTTACCAACTGTGTGACCTTGGAGAATGTATTTCATATTTCTCAGGTAAGAAAATGCAGGCTTAGGCTGGGTGCAGTGGATCATGCTTGCAATCCCAGCAGTTTGGGAGGCCGAGGTGGGTGGATCACCAGGAGTTAGAAGCCAGCCCGATCAACATGGCAATATCCCATCTCTACTGAAAATACAAAAATTAGCTAGGTGTGGTGGCAGGCACCTGTAATCCCAGCTACTAAGGAGGCTAAGGCAGGAGACTCACTTGAATCTGGGAGGTGGAGGTTGCAGTAAGCTAAGATCATGCCATTGCACTCCAGCCTGGACTCCACCTCAAAAAAAAAAAAAAAAACAAAGAAAAGGAAATGGAGGCTTAGAGACATTTAAACACCCACCAAAGATTGCTGCTATCTCTTCAATAGTAGGTTATTGCTTAAAAGTAAGTGACCAAAGACAACATTTTGAGTTTAATCTGCCATCTCAGTGGGGCCCTGTGATGTGCTCTTGCTGATGGAATGTGGCATCACCTCTAGGTTGAGTTGGTTAAAATGTGATCATGCCGTTTCTTCCCTTCATTTACTCATATGCAGGCTGAATGAAGAGGACTGGGGTGCAGGGGATAGGAAAGGATGGAGCTCCAAAACTGGACAGAGCCTCAGTCCCTGAATCACACAACAAAGGAGGCCGCTCAGTAACAAGGAGCACAAAGAGCAAACTGTTCAATGAGCACTAAATCAGCGTCTACTGCATCTACTGTCATTTAGATTTGGGGTTTGGGGCTTGTTATGGTACCTATTATTACCCTAAATAGTCTCCTATGCAAAATCATGGACTGGATGGGCTGAGGTACAACTAAAATCTTCTTCCACACCCTGTACTCTCCCTATTGTACTTTCTTTTCTAGTCTATGAAAGGCAGCAGGAGCGGGACTCAGGCCAGAATCTCCATCCTAGAACCAGGATGAGCAGCTGGCTGGAACAGACTTTATCCTAAATCCCTCAGGAAACTGAGTTTGATGGATGGGGTGCAGAAAAGCGAGTGCTCAGGGTGTCATGTAGTGCACAGGAATGGTGGATTGGATAAATCAACATGAACATTGTGGAGGGTGAGCTCAGAGCCAGATTTGCAAGGGACTCTCAGTATGCATGGCCAGTTCCTCAGGCTCTGCAAAGGCAAATGTCTTTAAGATGCAGCATACCCCTTTCAAATTTACAGCATCCTCTTTCTCCATACAACCAACACAACACAGAACAACATCCCCAAGACATTTGATTGCTCTTTTAATAAACCTAAGCTCTCTCTTTTCTTTTCTGCTACAGCAATGTATTGGCCTAACATAAAGAAATCCCTAACTACAAATTCAAACATCGGATATTAAAAGTCAACTGTTAGAATTTTTTAAAAATAAAATAAAAAGAACACTTCTTATGTAGTACATCCTTTGAAAAGCACTTGTATTTCCCATTATTGAAGCAATGGCGTTTTATTCAGCCAAACACAAGAAATTGGAAGCATTTTAGAATATCTAGAGGAAGTTTGCAGATAGAATTTCATTTCAGAGATTAAAGCATGTTTGAGCAAGTGCTTGGCATTATATCACACATAGGAGATTCCATCAAAACTGGGGACTGGGGCTTTGTCAGGCGGTGGAAAAGGCCTTTATTACTGCATTTAATGCCTTGCGATAGACTTAGTTTTGTACATTCTGAGCATTGGCGTTGGAGCCTAACAGACATGATGTTCAGAGATTCATTGTAAGATTTTGGTCTTTGAAACCCAAGGAATGCTTAGATTCAGCCATGTTGGCTTCTTCCCAAGAAAGAGATACTCGCAAGGGACGATGACAAATGGGAAAACTCGGCAAAATGTTATTAGTTGAGCTTGAGCCCAAAAACCACATGAAGAGCTCTCTGGTAAATTTAACAGAAAAGAAAGCAGAATTCACTCGAAGCGTCGGGAACAGGGATCCACTCCAGTTCCATAGACCAAAACCCCAGTGCCCAGCAGATGGCTGTTCTGCTCATGACTGAAAGGATGACAACATTTAAGTTTGAATAAGAGAGGTGGAGGACAAAAAGAAAAGGGGGTAAGAGAAACTCATTATCTTAGGGCTACCCTTGTACATATAGTCATCCTGACCCCTGGTATACCAAGCAGAATCAGATTTCCAGAATTTACCTATCGGATGTAGATCTCCTGAGTGAAGAGGAAAAGAAAAGCAAAGGTGGGAGAGTTGAACTATGCGGGTGCATCTTATACCCTCAATACCTACATTGGGGCCCACAGAAATCCTCCTTCTTCTATTGTGTGGCCTTGGGAAAGTCACTGGTCCTATCTGCCTCGACCCTCCTCAGATAATTGACATGGTAAATAAAAGGAATAAAATATGTAAAGTCTCTAAAGCAATGCCTAGACTCAATAGATCTGGCGCCTTTCCTAGCTCAGATCAAAATGAGGGAAGTCTCAGCCTAATATAAAGGCCAGGTGGTCTCTGCTGCAGAAGGAAGAATGGAAAAGCTGAGAAGGGATTCAGGATTGGGATGACAACAGAGTCAAACTGGAATAAGAACTAGAGTTCCTGGACCAGGAGAAACAAGAGCTTGGCTCACTATGAGACTGGAGGACAGGTCATGATGAGATCCTCAGGCAGGTTACATATCCAAGGTTTTTTTTTTTTTTTTTTTTTTTCCTTTCTAATTAAGAAGTGGTTAGTTTAGAGCCTGAGGCAAGCCAGGCCTGCTTTAGGGACTAAACGGCCTGTGCAGCAGAAGATCAGAGAAATATGAGGCAGGGAGCCAGGCAGGTCATTATTTTTTCCAGGCGCCAGCCTCCAAAGGGAGCGGAATCTGGCAATCACAAGCCAAAAACCTGCCAATGCTTTTGACAACTGTCATGTGATTTAATTGTTCTGAGGCAGCGTGGCTCAGCAGTAAATACACTTCGAAGGCTCACAGAGAACTCACGTATCCTGGTCGCCACCGTGGCATGATGATGAAGTGAGTAACTACCAAAAGGAGGGCAGGGCAGGGGAGGCAGACAGACAGCTGTGAGAAGAACTGGGCTGCCCTATTGTTCTAGCAGGAAAAAATTCCGGGACTCAGAGCTCAGCAGTTCCTCTTTTGGGCCCCGATCCCTAATGAAGAGATTTATGCAAAGCTGCATTTATTTGGAGGTTTCTGCTCTACTGGGGATGATGGGGTAGTTGAGCTGTTGTAGGCTTTCAAGGACTAAGGTATAGGAGAGATTTCTTCTAAAAGCAGAGGTGTTGAATGAAGGTTCAAAGCTACAAAATCAGAGTATGGAAAGTAAAGCTCATTACTTATATTTACTAAACAATTACGATGTCAAAAGCACTATGTTACGAGCATCTACGGATTATCTCATTTCGTCCACTAATTAACCCTATTGTCTTAGTCGGTTTTGTGCTGCTATCACAAAACAGTGGAGAACTGGCAATTTATAAAGAACAGAAATGTCTTCTCTCAGTGTTCTGGAGGCTGGGAAATCCCAGATCGAGCCAGTGGTAGCTGGTGTAGGCCTTCTAAGTATATCCTCACATGCCAAAGCTGGAAGGGCAAGAGAGAGCGAACCCACTCCTTCCCTTTTTATAGTGGCATTCGTCTATTCATGAGGGTTCAGCCCTCATGATCTAAACACCTCCCAAAAAGGCTCAGCTCAACACTGCTGCATTGGGAATTAAGTTTCCAACACATGAATACCAGAGGACATCTTCAGAGCATAACATCTATGGATTCAGAACAACTGTAATATCCATTGTTTATATGATCAAACTGAGGCTTCCGTGTGTTAAATAGCCCTGGAACACACAGCTGGTAAGCAGCCCCTCAGGAACTCACTCCAAGGCCCACACTTCACGACCCTGTTGCCAGGAATCTGAAGTTTGATGAAAATGTACAGTTAGTCGCCCCTAGGATGCATTTGGTTGCAATTAATAGATTGCTTGACTGACAGCTTAAAGAGTAAGAATGGTTACTGTCTACTTAATGAAGTCAGTACCCATAGATACAAGGTCCCTGTTCAAAGTCTCTGAAGTTTGCTTGGCCTATCATTGTCAAAAGACACGGCCACACCGCAAGTATGACATTCTCACTTAGCAGATCCCATCCCATTTCCCTACTCTCATTTACAGCAAGACTCTTTCAACTAATTTCCCATACCCTTCATCTCTTCTTCATCTCCTGCCATTCTTTCTGGAACTCAGTCCGATTGGGCCACTTCCTGCACCACCCTACTGAATCTCTCCTTTGAAAGTCACCAGTGCCCTCCACATCGCCCAATTCAACAGTCAATTCTCAGCCCTTACTCTTACTTAACCCATCAACAGCACCTCATACACAGGATGGCCCATCACTTGAGAAACACCTTCTGACTTTCCTTCCAGGACTCCGCTTACTCTTAGTCCCCATTTCACTGTTGTGGTCACTCCACCTCAGTCTCCTCTGCTGGTTTCTCCTTGCCTGTCAACCTCCCAATTTTGTGTGCCTCAAAGCTCAGGATTTAGGCATCATTTAACTGTATTTGCTCCACAATCCCTAGGCAATATTATCCAGGAGAGTTTTAAACACCATTTATAAACTTGTGATTCAATTTCTCCAGCACTAAATTTCAAACCTGAATATAAAACTGACTTTTTGACATCTACACTTAGATGTCTCCAAAGTTCACAAGTCCCAAACTGAACTTTCAGTGTCACTCCCTTTCCCAAACCTAATTTGTCCTCAGTTTGACTCTTCTCAGTAAATGGCAGCCCTGTTCCTTCCAGTTGCTCAGGTCTAAAACATTGGAATCATCCTTTTCCTCTACCTGTATCAGCCTACAGCACATCTATCAGAAAATCCTGTTGGAACTTTCTTTGGAATAAATATAGAATCAGGCCACTTCTCAGTATCTCTCTTCCTACTTCTCTAAGATAATGGTCTAAGCTCCCATCATCTCTTACGTGAGCTATAAAAATAGCATCTTACTCTGCTCTGTATTTCCACCTTTGCTGCTCTACTATATTACATTATCCAAAGAGCAATCGGAATCATTTTTTAAAAATGCAAATTGCTCCTTAACTCTAAATGTTCTCATAGCCTCCCTACTCATTCATCTTGCTTGCAGAATCCAAAAAAAGCATGTTCTCTGGCCTCCCATTACCTCTTTGATCTTAATTCCTATCACTTTCACCCAAGCTCAGCGTAACTGTGGGTTCTGACCTACTAGAATGTTATATAGTCAATTCTAATAGTCATAACCAGGACATTTTAATCAAATAGAATAAAATATAAGAGACACCATCACAGTGCATTACACATAGTAAAGGTGAGTTCTTCTGTTAAACTCTGAATTCAGTGTGCGTGAAGGCATGTGCATGTGTACTGGGTCAGAATATCAAATTTATTTTTCACTGTGGGTCATGGTCCAAAAGTTTGGCACTAGCTCACCCTGCTGCAGTCACTCAGATCTACCATTTTTTTTTTTTTTTTTTTTTTTTTTTTTGAGACGGAGTTTCGCTCTTGTTACCCTTGCTCACTGCAACCTCCGCCTCCTGGGTTCAGGCAATTCTCCTGCCTCAGCCTCCTAAGTAGCTGGGATTACAGGCACGAGCCACTGTGCCCAGCTAATTTTTTGTATTTTTAGTAGAGACGGGGTTTTACCATGTTGACCAGGATGGTCTCGATCTCTTGACCTCGTGATCCACCCGCCTCGGCCTCCCAAAGTGCTGGGATTACAGGCTTGAGCCACCGCGCCTGGCCAGATCTACCTTTTTAATTTATCCAACATGCCAGTCATTCTACTGGCTGAAGGACTTTGCCCTTATTACTCTCACCTGGAATTTTCTTACACCAGATATCTGCTCTCTCAACTTTTCAGTCTTAACTCAAGGTTAACCTAATTAAAAGGTCTTCTCTGGTCACACTGTACAAAACAGCACCCCATCACTATCTTCCCATCCTACTTGACTTCTCTTCGTATTGTTTCTCACCACTACAGGTTATTTTTGAAAAGAGTTTATAAGTTCCATTAGGGTAGGGATTTTGTCTGTTCTGTTTACTATTTTTCTAGAGATTTTTTTTTTAGTTTCTGTCACATAGTGGGAACTCAGTATTTTTCAAATATATTAATTCCACAACCCAAACAAGAAGGAGAGCAGCAGCAGAAATAATTCCCTATCCACCATTTGTTGTCTTTCAACAGGGTAGTCTCCAGCAACTTTCCTCTTTCACATGTTCAGAAATTGATCGTGTGGGCTGGGCATAGTGGCTCACACCTGTAATCCCAGCACTTTGGGAGGCCGAGGCAGGTGGATCACCCGAGATCAGGAGTTCGAGACCAGCCTGGCCAACATGGTGAAACCCCATCTCTACTAAAAATACAAAAAATTAGCCGAGTGTGGTGGCAGGTGCCTGTAATAGCAGCTACTCAGGAGGCTGAGGCAGGAGAATTGCTTGAACCCGGGAGGCGGAGGTTGCAGTGAGCTGAGGTCGCATCATTGCACTCTAGCCTGGGCAACAAGAGTGAAACTCTGTCTCAAAGAAAGAAAAAATGATTCTATGACTACCCCCAAAGCAATATCCATCGAAGAGGAATTCAATTTCCACTTTTGGCTTAGTCCAGTCGTGACTCATCAATGAGAAGATGGTGGTGGAGCTTCCTACCTGGCAGCTGCATAACATTGAATTCTGTTAGTTGAGAAGGAATTGGGGCACAGGAGAGAAGGACTTCTAGGTAATTAGTAGGGTCTGTCACAAAGACCTCAGGATTTTCAGGCTTGATCAGCAGTGAGGTATAAAATCTATGCCCTCAGGGGCATGCAGTATGGAGGAAGACTTCGCTAAGAAAAGCCAAGGAAATTGTCCAAACCCACACAGCCCGGAAGTGGTGAAGCCGAAATTCTAACTTGCGTTGCTTTGGCCCTATCTCTACCTTTCTAAGCGTTGAACCTCAATTACTTTGAGCCTGAATTTCAGTTTCCTGAATGTGTAAAAGGGAATGTAATTAGCTACTCAGAAAAATAAGGTAACTTCATCGCAGAAAGGACTGAGATACGACGTATAAATCTTAGAATTATTCTGGTTGTGATTAACCGGACATAGCATTTGGTCATGTAGGGCTTTCTCATTCTTTCAAGGGAGAAACTGCCCCCCCTCTCCAAATATAGCCGTTTGTCTTTCTTGAAAAATCTGTCTGGGCATGGTGTCTCACACCTGTAATCCCAGCACTTTGGGAGGCCGAGGCAGGCAGATCATGAGGTCAAGAGATCAAGACCATCCTGGCCAACATGGGGGAACCCTGTCTCTACTAAAAATACAAAAATTAGCTTGGTTTGGTGGCCCACACCTGTAGGCCCAGCTATTGGGAGGCTGAGGCAGGAGAACGGCTTGAACCCAGGAGGCAGGGGTTGCAGTTAGCCAACATCACGCCATTGCACTCCAGCCTGGCAACAGAAGGAGACTGTCGAAAGAGAGAGAGAGAGAGAGAGAGAGAGAGAGAGAGAGAGAGAGAGAGAGAAAGGAAAGAAAGAGAAAGAAAGAAAGAGAGAGAAAGAAAGAGAGAGAAAGAAAGAAAGAAAGAAAGAGAGAGAGAGAGAAAGAAAGACTGTATCAAATAGTTAAAAATATGTAATCCCTGGAATTGGAGTCTAGGTATTTTAGTTTGAATCGTAACTCTAGCTAGATGGCTTTGGATAAATCACTTAAACTCTCTCAACCTAAGTGTTTCTTCTGAAAATGGTTATATTTATATTTTTCTCATGAGATTGTTTCAATTACTAAGAAACGTGTATATATATACAGTATGTTGTAAAATAGATGAGCAATAATACTTGTAATAGTGCAATTAATCTTCAATGCCCACAATATCCCACCATATTTTAATTTTTGGAGGAAAGAAGGGGCCAATTAACCTCTAGTTTCTCTTAACTACGTTGTATTCTCTGCAATGAGGAGTCAAAGCTTGCCAAATGCTCTCCTTTCTAGAGATGAGAATAAGGCGTTTCTTCAGGATAATTGATCTCTCTCATTAGAAGCAGTAGGAGAAGCCTCCTTCAAAACACTGGGGGTACTTCAAGTAGGGAAGGAAGAAGCTAGGGCGGAACTATGAGCCGAAAGCTTCCAGCTTCCCTAAATAAGCTGAATTCCTCACCCAGCAGTCACGAATCCATATTGGGCCCTGCGTGTGGGCATCAGGTTGTAGGCCTCCTTATCTGCCTTCCCCAGATCCTGGCACAGAGTCAGGACAGGCCCCAACTCCATTTTAAATAGCAGGGAGCATTCAGTTGCTCCATCTCAGGGGATATCAACAAATTCATATCCAAAAATGTTTAGTGAACATTTCTGTGTGAGGCACTCTTCCAAGCTCTGGGGATAAAACCATGAAAAAGACAAGACAAGTCTCTGTTTTGATGAAGCTCATATGGTAGCAAATTTCAGCGCAATTAAACTAATAAAGTAGCTTCTGCTAGATGTGAGTGCTGTGGGGAAAATGAGTCACGTGAGAGGGTGATGGGGCCTTAGGACAGAACTCTACTCAGTAAGGCAGTTCTGGGAAAACGTTTCTAAGAAAACACATTTGAACAGAGACAGGAAAAAGTATACGGTAGGTTTTATTCTTGTTCTGAATACAGGCTGTCCTCATTATGCACAGTAATGCAGGGCTACAAAAGTGACCACACACGCTGAACAAAGCAATCTTAGCCATGGAAAAAATTACGATTATTTCGTGACCCTTAAAAATGTTTGTCCAAGCATTTCTCTGCAACTCATAAATGGAGAGATAAAATGAATACGATAATCCAGTTTCCCTCTTAACGTATGTTCTCTCTGTCACAGAATTGTTTGTCTCATTCACATTCAATTTGCTGAAGACAATGGAATGTGTGCAGAAGTGACGATGTAACTTCTGAGCCAGGTTTTAAGAACTAGCCCTGAGTCTGTCATGTCTTTATTTTCCCTCCTGATTAGGGGCTGGTCCATATGCTGGTCAAGTCAGGATAATGTAGAGCCACCCACAATGCTCTTGAAAGGTGAATGAGAAATACACTTTTATCATCCTAGGCGATGAAATTAGTCTGTATCACAAATGCCCAGAGGGCTTGGTAAAGCAGAGATTGATGGGCCCCATCCTTAGAGTTTCTCATTAATAGGTTCGGGGTAGTGACCAAGACCCTGCATTTCTGACAAGTGCCCAGGTGACACTTTTGCTGCTCTAAGAATCGCTGTTCTGAGCCATGACAATTGGGGATTCAATTGTTAGTGCAGCGTATCTTACCCTACATTGACTGGTACAGAGGGGAATAAACCAGTTATGTATCAGATGTTAAAAAAAAAAGTAAATCAAGCAGAAGGTACTTCAGGGCTTTGGAATCAGACAGATGTAAGTTAAAATCCCTTCAGCTACTCAGTGCGTGCCAGGCAGCGTGCCAAGATACATGAAGATGAATGAGAATTTCTACTCTCGGGAAGCTTATACCTTTTAGAATATTTATTCAAGTTTAAAAATGACACACTTGGCTGGGTGCGGTGGCTTGTGCCTCTAATCCAAGCACTGTGGGAGGCTGAGGTGAGTGGATCATGAGGTCAGTAGATCAAGATCATCCTCGCTAACTCGATGTCATTCTGTCTCTACAGAATATTAGCTGGGTATGGCGGCACGTGCCTGTAGTCCCAGCTATTTGGGAAGCTAAGGCAGGAGAATCGCTTGAATCGGGGAGACAGAGGTTGCAGTGAGCCGAGATTGTGCCAATGTACTCCAGCCTGGGCAACAGATCCAGACTCCATCTCAAAAAAAAAAAAAAAAAAAATGCCCTAAGTACTTCTGTCACCTGAGAGAGTGACACTTTTGATTCTGCTAAAGGACTTCACATTGAATCAAGATTAGTCAATTTGAGTATTTCTTCCAGAGATTTCAAATTTGGTTGAAGATATTCTGGTTACACCTGATCTATTAATGCAGAAAATGTTAACCAAAGATTCAACTGGGAGGACATCAATAGCTTCGTATGTGTAACGAGTAGCAAGAAAAAAATAGCCCTCAGTAGGATAGGAAGAAATTCTTCAAATCAAACTAACATATGAGCTAGGGAGATCGTCCTGATGTCTTCCAGATTCTGGTTCCGATTCTATCCTAAGGCCCAGCTGTTTTCTTCTTCTTGGGTGGCTTGCATGAGACACTTATATTTTTATAATAAAATCCCCCAATCCTTTTTTTTTTTTTTTTTGGCTTTAGCAGACCCCAGTGGATATTTATAACTTACATCCAAAGAATCATAAGAATGAAATTTTAAAACAAATAAATGCAATACACTGTGGTAAGTGCAGTGCTGCTGGTTTACTGAATATACTGTGACTGACTCTGATGAGCTCATCCTGCTAATAACTCAAGCACGTTGTCCTTATGCTCTAAGATTGCAGGACACATGTAATTACATACTTCTTTGGCAGCACTTAAATATGGAATAACTCACTGAGATATCATTCTCAAGTGACCAGACACTGCTTTTAGACAGGATACCCTACAGGGAATTGTAGGAGGTGGAGAATTCTGTGAGTACTCGGAGCCAACGACGGGGAAGACTTGAAAGGAAGAGGCTTTATGTTAAGGGTTTATGCATTATCTAGCCCAGCGCTAACCCTGAGCCTCAGACGAGCTCACTGCCTGGTTCTAGAAACCAACTTCAGCCCTGCTTCCTGCGCCAAAGCACTCAGATCCCATCTTGATCACCGATGTGACGTTCGTTACCTGCTGATGGAAATGTTTGTTCTCATTTTCTAACTGAGGTCTCTTCGGTGTACACACTACAAGAGGGGATGATGAGGCATAACTGCCTCGTAAGCTGCATCTGTTCCTTCATTTATTCATCCACCCATCCAATCACACTTTAGTCTCTTAAAATGTAATTTTCAGTCATGTATGAGTCAGACCTCATACTGTAGTTACACAAACGCAATAGAAGGTAAAATATTATTTCTACCTTCCAACCATCTGCAGTCTTATCTAGTAGGTAAGAGCATTGACTTTGAAGTTTCTTCACCTTTAAAATGACCGGTTCATTATAAATTGGTTTAAATATTCACCGAGATATTGGATATAACTAAAGGATAAAGAACACTCTGGTATCCCGTTAAGTGTTTTTATAGTACGTATTCTTTTATCCTGTTACTTTTAACTTATCTGCATCTTTGTATCTAAGGGATTTATTATAAAAAAAGAGATTCAGGTCTTTTTCATCCAATCTGACCGTATCTGGAGAGTTACAACATTTTGACATAATATCAATATGGTTGGGATTTGAACCCCGATATTGAATATTTGTGTTTTTATTCTGTTTATTATTTTTTCCCCTTTTACTACCTTCTTTTGAATTAATTAAGTATCATTTAGTATTTCATTTTATTTCCAGTATTGGCTTAATCAGTATATTTTGTTTTTTGATTTTGTTTTTTGAGAGCTGTGACTCTCAAGTTTACAATATACAAGTTTAATCAGAGTCTTCCTTCAAGCAACGTTATATGACTTCATGAATAGTGTAAGAATCATATATCATTCCAATTTCTTTTCTCTCTTTCCCTCCCTTGTCCTGTTACTGTTTTATAATTTTCTTCTAATGTAATAAACCTCACAATATGTTGTAAATAGCTTTGCTGTAAACAGTCAATTAACTTTTGAAGTGATTAGAAATGAGGAAAAAAGGATTTCACACTTATTCCAGTATTTACCCCTTCTGGTGTTATTTATTCCTTTTTATAGATTGCAGATCCTATCTGAGATCATTTTTCTTTTGCCTAAAGAGCAAGTTTCTTGTAATGCAAGATTTGTAATTGTCCCAGTTTGTACTTTTCCAAAAGTGTTCTTTTAGTCTTAATTTTTGAAAAATATTTTCACTATAGAAACCCTATTTCCTGCTCAATTCTTTTTTTTTTTTTTTGAGACGGAGTTTCACTCTTGTTACCCACCCTGGAGTGCAATGGCGCAATCTCGGCTCGGCGCAATCTCGGCTCACTGCAACCTCCGCCTCCTGGGTTCAGGCAATTCTCCTGCCTCAGCCTCCTGAGTAGCTGGGATTACAGGCACACGCCACCATGCCCAGCTAGTTTTTTGCATTTTTAGTAGAGACGGGGTTTCACCATGTTGACCAGGATGGTCTCGATCTCTTGACCTCGTGATCCACCCGCCTCGGCCTCCCAAAGTGCTGGGTTTACAGGCATGAGCCACCGCACCCGGCCCTTTTGCTCAATTCTTTAAGTTTATCACCTCAATGTCTTCTGGTCCACATACCTTTTGAGAAGAAGTCTGCTGGGATTGTTAAATTTGTTCTCTCTTATGCAATGTGTCCCCTTCCCAGCTGCTTTTGTCTTTATCGTTAGATAAAGGTTTTCAGATATTTAACTCTCATGTCTATTTATATGATTTTCATCAAATCTCTCTACTCACTACTCAGGATTCATTCCATTTTTTGATTCGCTATCATTCTCATCAAATGTGAAAAAATTTTAACCATTACTCCTTCATGTTTTCCTTGTTTCTCTCCTTCTGATGTTCTATATAATTTTGACTGTTTTGCATTGTCTCACAGAAGATTTTCTTGCAGATGTTAACAAAGATTTGAATTCCCCAAGTTTGAAGTTCCTAAACCATGATGTACATTTTCACTGACTCCTCCATGCTGCCCCTGTGCAACCGTGGAGGCAGGGGCAGCTACCGCAGACCTGCAGCTCAGGCTGCCCACTACACTGGGAGCAATGAGATTGCTTTGTCTCTGATTCAGGAGGCTCATGTCATCTGCCAGAATCTGGGAAACTACAGCAATAAGGTGAAATCTCAGATACTTCACAGTTCTCAATAGCTGACACCACCTCATCCTTTACACCACACGGCACAGGCAAATTGTGATAATTGCCACTGACAGAGACGCACTAGGATATGAACATTAGCTCTGTCTTTCTAGCCAATGGTACATGAGAGGAAGCTAATATTGTGGTGCTTCTGAATAAAACTTTGTTTTCTAAGACAGAAGGAGGAAAAGGAGGAAGAGGAGGCAGGCAGGGGCAGAGGCAGGGCAGGACATGGAAAAGAAAAAGGCAGCACAGTCTCTAGCCCTGTTTTTCTCCTGAGTGGCTATTTGTAATCAGTCCAAACATCAATCAAAACTTCTGAAAATAGAAGAGCAGAAATATGGAAAGAGCCTGGATGCCAGATCATATGGTTGACTTACTGAATTAACTAACCCTGGAAGCTTCCTATATGTGAACTTTTCCTGAGATGGATTTTCTTATTGTTTTTACCAGTTCAAGTTAGACTTTCTATTATTTTAAGCTACTATCGTCCTACAAAAACAGACAGAGAAACCATGAGAGAAACAAGGAAAAAAGAGAGCAAGGAAAAGGAAAAGCGGAGAGAGAATAAGACAGATATATTCAAAAGATCAATCCCGAGAGCCTGATGTAGACCAGAAACCTCGTCCACATTCAAAGGTGGTAAAGATCAACCAAACAGAGAAGGAGACACCACTTGAGATGGAGGACTGGGGGCAAAGAGAAAATCAGTCATCTAGAGACAGTAGTTTCGGGGAGGTATTTTGTTTGTTTGGAGACAGGGGCTTGCTCTGTCTCCCATGCTAAAGCACAATGGCACAATCACTGCTCACTATAGCCTTGATCTCCTGGGCTCAAGTGATCCTCCTGCCTCATCCTCCATTGCAGCTAAGACCACAGGCATGCACCAACATGCCCAGATTAAAGTTTGTTTTTTATGTTTTGTAGAGACAAAGTCTCACTATGTTGCCCAGGTTGGTCTCGAAGCCTTGGACTCAAGTGATCCACTTGCCTCAGCCTCCCAAAGTACTAAAATTATAGACATGAGCCACTGAGTTTGGCAAAAAACATTAGTTTTGAAGGGAGCTGGAATAACTTACCCCTCATCCGCAGCCTCTTAGAGTCTTTTTGCTTCCAATTACAGTCCATTCATTCCTGTTAATGTATTTTACTGTTGTTAAAGTAACAGAAGAGGCTGAGAATAGAGCATGTTCTCGGTTCCAGTCTCCTACGAGACCCAGGGAGGCTGCTGATAACGGTCTCTGGAGAACAGAAAGAGGGAACCAGCAACACCTATGGCCGCCTTCTCTATTTACTGTCTTCTCAGCCCTCCACCACCACTTACTCATCACCCCATCACAGTATAGGTCCCCATTCTTCCAGGCTCTGAATGTAACTATCTCTGTGATATTTCAGGGAAGATAGGTTAGGCCTTCTGATTCTCAATTACTGTGGGTGTCACAGTGCTTGGCATGTACAGAACTCTCTTTAACCAATGGATAGATGGACGGATGGGTAAGTGGATGGATGGTAGAATAATAATTTAATTTATTAGTTTTGGATTCAGACAGAATTGGTTTAGAATTTTAGTTCTGTTACTACCTCAGTAATAATGGGCAGATGATAACATTTTTCCATAGTAAAGTTTTCTCATTGGAAAAATGTAACTTCAATCATGGAGTAGACAATTCAGTAAAAATTACCTTTTCAGAAATCATTATAGTTTATTGGATACTGAAGACCCTTCCTTCAAGTTTATTTTGATAACAGTGGAACAGAATGAGATAGATGTTGAGGTAGGGAAAGAGAAGGAAAAGTATCACGTAAAGTTCAAGAAATGAATTAAATGACTCAACATCTAAAGACCAACACTGAGATAAGCAGATTAGGCAACCAGCTACAGGAATCTCAGTGTACATCCAACAGTAATTTCGAGAGAAGGAAAAGGGAGAGATATATACTCTGCTTTCTTCTGTAGACTTGAGAAAGTGACTTTGAAAGTGGTTTGCATTTTCATTGCTGATGTTCTAACTTGGAAAGCCATTGGAAAATAGTTTACCCTAAAGGCTCCAATTCAAAATGATTTGTAATCTCTCTCCCCATGGGCATAACTGATACAAGTCACTGCCTTTAGGAGCCATATAGGAAGTCAGGAACCACACAAGGTATTTCAAAAAGAAAGGAGATAGTTCAAAGAACTAGTTTTCAACTTGTTGCCAGAGTCTGAATACAAGAAGGTGTGATAACGTGGTAACACAGAGATGATTCATTGCAGGAAGTAGCGACCACCCCAGGGCTGGAGGAACATGGGATGAGAGAGAGCATTAGAGCACAAGAGTTTACCTGCTACAGCATGGCTGGGATGCCAAACAGTCAGGCCTGGAACTGCCCAGGAGAGATGGCCCTAGTCAGTGCTAGAGCGGTGCAGGAGGGTGCTTGCTACTGGAAGCACCAAAGAAGGGCCTCCCTGATGAGGCGATGGTCACCAAAGAGAGAGCTGCTGTGGCTAAAGCTTAGATTATGTAAAGGGATACAGCCCTTTCTGAAGACACTGCCAAAAGCGGGAAAACGGTGCAAATTCAAGACTTTCCTCCCCCTGACAGTGTCTCCCTGTTGGCAAAAGCAAACAAGAAGCCAGATGGTAGGAGAGTTCACAAAGTGTAATTCACACCGGCTCCCACTTTTGACATTACAGGAAAAGGCACAGGAAGATCACTTCTACTGCAGAAAGGAGAATAGCTGCCAGGGAGGGGATGATCATACTGATGATGGCAATGACAATGATGTTGACTACTACAATAAAAGTAAAAACAAGAACAATGTCAGCAAATAGCATTTGAGACCCGGCACTGTTCCCTAAGCACTTTGCATGTATTTCAGAGAAAGAAAGAAAAAAGGAGAGGAGGGGCCGGGCGCGTGGCTCACGCCTGTAATCCCAGCACTTTGGGAGGCCGAGGTGGGTGGATCACGAGGTAAGGAGATCGAGACCATTCTGGTCAACATGGTGAAACCTCTACTAAAAATACAAAAATTAGCTGGGCATGGTGGCATGTGCCTGTAATCCCAGCTACTCGGGAGGCTGAGGCAGGGGAATTGCCTGAACCCAGGAGGCGGAGGTTGTGGTGAGCCGGGATCGCGCCATTGCACTCCAGCCTGGGTAACAACAGCGAAACTCCGTCTCAAAAAAAAAAAAGAAAGAAAGAAAAGAAAAAAGGAGAGGAAACCAGGGGGAAATAGCATGAAGGAGGAGGAAGCCACATTGCCGTGAGGTTTAGCACTTCATCCCTCAGAAATTTCATGTTGGCCTTCCTCTAACTCACATCCCGCCTCTGTGCACACAACGGAGGAAAAATGAACATTCACTGGAAGCCAGCTAGGGGCTAGACACTGTTCTCAGAAATTTTACTACCTTACCTAATTCAACCTTCACAAGAATCCTATGTTAAAAAGGGAAATGGGGCCGGGCGCGGTGGCTCAAGCCTGTAATCCCAGCACTTTGGGAGGCCGAGGCGGGTGGATCACGAGGTCAAGAGATCGAGACTATCCTGGTCAACATGGTGAAACCCCATCTCTACTAAAGATACAAAAAATTAGCTGGGCATGGTGGCGTGTGCCTGTAATCCCAGCTACTCAGGAGGCTGAGGCAGGAGAATTGCCTGAACCCAAGAGGCGGAGGTTGCGGTGAGCCGAGATCGTGCCATTGCACTCCAGCCTGGGTAACAAGAGCGAAACTCCGTCTCAAAAAAAAATAAATAAAAATAAAAAGGAAAATGGGCTAGAGGTTAAATAACTTGCTCACGGCCTGCGAATAGCTCAAAGACAGTCAGATTTAGTTCTGATTCTATCTGTCTGAAGCTCATGCTGCTATGAATTAAGTGAAAATAGTAAAAGCTGTTTCCACTCAGACACCCAACCAATGCTCATCCGAACTCCTCCTAGAACACTGCTTGGATGTACCGGGGGCTCTGCGGCCCTGGTGCTGCCTTTTAACTGGGAATGCATGGGGTGGAGTTGAGAGCCTCTAGCTTGGAGCAAGCCACTCTGCCCCAGATGGAATGTTCTTTGATAAAGGGGTTTTGAAGTTGACCATCAAAGTAATTCTTCCCCTAACGGAGCCTAAACAGCAGGTCTTGAAAGCCAGTCAAACAAAGAATAGTTTAAAAGAAAAAAAAAAAAAAAGAAAGAAAGAAAAATTAGAAGTGCTACCACAATCCATTCCCCAAAAAGAGGAATAGAATTCAAGAAATGGCAAGCTATCTAAAATGAATAGTAGGAAGAGACTCATGATTGTTCTTTCGAGGAGCTGTAGCTGTGAAGGCTCCACGGGGTGGCGGGGAGCAACCTGAACTGCAGGCAGTCAAGCACATGTCAATGTCAACAGGCTCAGTGTCTTCTGCTGCGGAGACCATCTTAATAATGGAAGGAGATAGAAGACCCTGGTGCTCAAAGCAGGAAGGAAAGGGGTCACTGTAATAGTTTTGTTTTTTTTTAATCGCTGTTTGGTTTCTATCACTACAGAACAATTATGACATACTTAGTGGCTTAGGACAACACACTTATTATCCCATGGTTTCTGTGCATTAGGAGTGTAGGTATGGGTCAGGGTCCTCTGCTCATAGTCTCACAAGGTGGCTATCAAGTTGTCGGTCAGAGCTATGTTCTTGTATGAGGTCTCCTTTCAACTTCATGGGGTTATCGGATAGCACTCAGTTCCTTGCAGTTGCAGGATTTGCGAACTTGCTTCTTTAAAGTCAGCCAGAGAGAGAGAGAACAGCAGGGAAGGTTGAGAATGAGAGTCTCGAGTGAGTACAGCAGAATAGCAGAACACGCCTTATGCAACATAAGGCATCACCGGAGTGATGTCCATTCACCTTTAATAAGCTTATTAGGTAGAAGCAAGTAACAAGCCCCATTCATAGTGAAGGAGAGGGAATCCTAGAAAGGCACGAAACTCCAAAGCCCCAGAGGCAGGAATCATAGGGTCTATCTGCCACAATCACCGAGGCTGCAGACCAGAGTAGTGGTAAGAAGCTGGTAAGAACCCTCCCCTGGCTTTCTTGCCTTCTATCTACACACCCACTCTTTTCTCACCTTGCACTCCCACCCCCACAACAGGCCACACATCAGCTTCTGATCTTTCCACATTTCCCAGGGATCCATTTGCCAGGAAACAACACCAGAAGACTTTGCTACTCAGGGCTTTTCTGAGAAGTCCAGGAGAAGGAAAGAAGGCCTTTGGAGGGCTCTGTGTGCATCAGTGGATACATTTCTAGGGCCTCTGCCCCAGGGCCTAGTGTGGGAATGGAGAGGAATGGATTAGCAGGTGATGAGAAGAGGCATGGCTATGTTTAAACCTTCTCGCCTATCTAATCTCTTATTGACTGAGAAACATCACAGGGAGGTATCTGGTAGGAATTAACACTAATTCCTTCCCAGCTCTTTAGTGTCTTGGCTGGCTCAGCGCCTCCTCTGCTGGATGCTCCACGTGGGGTATGTCAGTGAGAGAGGATCCTGGGTAATTGATTACGAGACTAACATGCCCCCTTTGCAAATACATTATCACTGGTCCCACCAATGCATCCTTCAATAAAACACAGTAAAAGTGGGTTCTGGGGGCATCCAAATGAATTAAAGAAAAATGAATGTGGGGGGAAACACAGAAACAGCATGAGTTTATTTAAAGAGGTATAAAGAGACCAAAGAAAATAGTGGGAAAAAAAGGAGAGAAGAGGAAAAAAAAGGACTACTTTTTTCTCTGCTGCTGTTAACTGAATCAGTCAAGGCCCTGGAACTCTTTCATTCACAGTGCATAGTTAGGCTAGTTAAAAGGTAGGATTCAAGGTAGTAAGAATGCAACAGGGGGACTCCTGTTGGACAGGGACGGGGTCCTGCTGATTACGGAGGTCCTGGCTCTTGTCTCCCAGGTCCAGATTGCCCGGTACACAGCCTGATACAGAGGAGACATTCCGGAAATGTTTGTCAGATGCATCGCTATTTTGTTTTATATGCCAATATTGATTAAATCATTCTCCTCCAAGGCTGTGCTTTCCCCATTGTTATGCACATATTATCTATTCATCCATTTATCAGATATTAAGTGCTTACTCTAATTCAGTCACTGCGATGACAAATAGTGATCTGATAGTGAATCAGTTGATATGGTTACTTTCCTGATGAGTCCCTGCTGTTGGACAGAAATCTATACAACTAAACAGTGTTACAAGTAGTAAGTTAGAACCCATAGAAGACACACTTAACCCTAATTTTACAGAATATAGAAAACATTTTGGAGCAAGTTACATTGGAGAAAACAGCCAAGATGGCTTGGCATAGGCATATTTCATTTAAAGGGAAGAGCATGGTCAGAGGCCCGGATATCAGAGCAGCACAGGAGAGGAGATGAACATTATTTAGAATGACAAGAGCAGGCACAAGTGCAAGCTTCCAAGTACAGGAAGGTGATATGGTTTGGCTGTGTCCCCACCTAAATCTCATCTTGAATTGTTTTTCCCATAATCCCCATGGGTCGTGGGAAGGACTTGGTGGGAGGTGATGGCATCATGGGGGCAGTTACCTCTATGCTGCTCTTCTGATAGTGAATTCACATGATATCTGACCGTTATACAAGGGGCTTTTCCCCTTTCTGCTGGGCATTTCTTGCTGCTGCCATGTGAAGAAGGGTGTGTTTACTTCCCTTTCGGCCATGACTGAAAGTTTCCTGAGGCCTTCCCAGCCAGCCCTGTGGAACTGGGAGTCGATTAAATCTCTTTCCTTTATAAATTACCCAATGTTGGGTATGCCTTTATTAGCAGTGTGAGAACAGACTGATATAGAAGAACAGGGGTCCTGAGACACAAGCCTAGAGAAACGAGCATAGTTAGTCTATGTTTGGTGTTTTCTTTTTTTTTTTTTTTTTTTTTGAGACGGAGTTTTGCTCTTGTTACCCAGACTGGAGTGCAATGGCGCGATCTCGGCTTACCGCAACCTCCACCTCCTGGGTTCAGGCAATTCTCCTGCCTCAGCCTCCTGAGTAGCTGGGACTACAGGCACGTGCCACCACGCCCAGCTAATTTTTTGTATTTTTAGTAGAGACGGGGTTTCACCATGTTGACCAGGATGGTCTCGATCTCTTGACCTCGTGATCCACCTGCCTCGGCCTCCCAAAGTGCTGGGATTACAGGCTTGAGCCACCGCGCCCTGTGTTTGGTGTTTTCTTCTAAGAGAAATAGAGAATTTCCAGAGGACTTTAAGCAGAAAGAACTCTATGACATCTGACTTGTGTTTTAAAGGCTTTACCTCTGGCATGGAGAATAGGTTAAAGGAGGTAAAGCTGAAGGCAGTCAAATTAGGAGGCTAAGACAATAGCCCAGATAACAGGTAAAGGTGACCTGAATACGGGTAGAAGTGGAGGAGATGGGGAGAAAAGGAGAGAACTGGGGGAGGGGAGGGGAGAACTGCTAGAATTGAAAGGCTAATTGAACTTAGGGGAAGCGTCAGGAATGGCTTTCCCCCAGTATTGGTCTTGTGTAACTGGGTGGAGGGTGAGGCTGTTTACTGGAGGGGTAGGAAGGAGTCTGGAGGGAAGACGGATGATGGACTCGAATATAGAGGCACTCAGTTATTGAGGAAACTTCTCCAGTGGAGATACCCAGTAGGTTTCAGGAGGGAAGACTGGAATAGAGAACAATATTTGAGCAGCATCAGCATGAAGGTGGTCATGAAGGTCACAGCAAAGTGAGGCTGTGCCAAGAGACACAGGTCCTACAGCCCTGCCCCTCCCTCTGTTCATGCACCCTCCCTGGGTCAGATTCTGGACTCCCAGCCCACACCAGAAGTGTCCATATGGCTGAGCTCCATTAAAACGAATCTTGTAGCAGTGTTTTGGTCAGGGGACGTCCTTAGCATCAGGTTTGGGCAACAGAAAAGCTTTATGCTGTTTTGACTGATTCCTAGAGCCAGAAATGTGTATTTGGAAAGTTGGCTATTTTTATACCACCTATATGTGCAGCAATTATTTCCTTTCTGTTTCCCTTACTGTTTAGTAAAAATCTTTCCGAACGTATCAGCCTGTCTCAGTTGTGTGAACGACGTAGAAGAAAATTTTGTCAAGCTCAGAGCCAACTATTAAAAAGGTAGCTGTGGTTTTCGGAGGTTTGGCTTCGTGTCATAGCAGGAACAAGCTGGAAAGAGACCCACAAGGGAAGTAAAACCCCGGAGAACAGAGTTGGGGGCCCTGGTGCAGCTACCGCTTGCCACCTGAAGATAATCTTTCAGTCTGGTTCTCTGCTACCACGTGCTCTGCTTTAATAAAGGACGTAGTCGAGCGTTGTGGAAAGCTCAAAGACGCTGGTATCAGAGATGAGTTTGAACCCTAACATTACTACTTAGCAAACTGAGAAATCCTGGGGAAGTGACTTAACTATTCTGTGCCTCCATTTTCTCATAGGCAAAATGAAAATAACAAAACTTGCAGTGTTTTTACAATAACGCCAGTAAAGCCCAAGGCCCAGAACAGGCACTCAGTACATGGCGCCTGCTGCAATTATGACTCTGTGAGTGGCCGTCAGTAATGAAAACAGTTGAGGGCTGGGATTCAGAAATCAAAGATGGTCCGGTCCCAAAGGAACAGAATCAAATGGACCAAAGGGGAAAGGTAATGTAGGTTAGCACCTGGTCAAAGCCAGGCAATGAGGTCAAACCCAAGAGGTCTGCAGGAAGCAGAAAGACGGACGGAACAGTGAGTACGTAAAGAGACCCCAGCCTTTCAAAGATGGCAGCCTGAGACCATGTCCTACTCTAGCTTCTTGCATTTTTTTCTTGCTGGAACAGAGGTCTACTCCTGGGCTCGTTTTCCCTGCGATCTGAGGCTGGTCCAGTAGCCAGAGCGAGCAGGTGGCTGGGACATGATGTTTTTTCCTGGTATGGTGTGGTGCTCTATCAAATCATTCATGCTGAGCCCCTTACTGCTTGCCAGTGGCTCTGGGTATAGCCCATAAGCTCTATCTTTCCTGGCCACTCTTTCCCACATCCCTAACAAATTGAGCAGGATAAAACCTCAGTGTATTTCCACCTGAGCACCTTCCAAAGACTGGGTGAGTGACTGCAGACAGAGCAACTCAAGGCCTTCAGCCCATTGCCTCCCCCTTGCCAGTTGTCTCTCCTCTTCCCACCTGCCTCCAGAGGGGGGTGGATGGATTATATCACTTCCTAAGAATTACAGCTGGAGAGATGACAGAATGGCTAGGGAGCAGGTGTATCTGGCGTGGATTCACTCTCTTCTTGTGGGGTAGATATTTATAACACGGGAGCTGAAAGAAATCATGAAAATCACAAAATCCAGGGGCTACAAACTCAAATGCAATTGCCTCCATTTCTCACTCCTTTGTCCGTGGGTCAGAAAGGTACCCTTCCTGAGAGGCCAGCACATGGTGCTCTCCCGGGGGCACAGGTCTCAAGTTGTCAAAAAAGAAAGAGCTTCAAGACTCTGATTCAGGGGATGGGGAAGCCAGGGGCCCCAGGAGCTGTCAGCATCTAGATCACCAATATAAGAAGTCAGCCTGAGAGCAAAGGAAACCAGAAAGCAGTGTAGAATGGAGAGAGCTGGGGGCAAGGCACCGGGGAGAGGGGTAGGGGGAAGTAGATTAGAGTTGAAGCCACAGATCTATTGTGAGTCCCTAAACGAAACAAACTTGAAACCTACAGCGCTTTGGGACTTCCTAGCTGGTGTGCCAGTAAGCCAGTGTGAGTCACATTTTCTATTCCTTGAAACGTCAGTTTCTTCCTGATTTACTGAGGACTCCCCACTGCTCTCCTCCCTCTTTAGATGAGCATGGACCCAGTCAAGAAAGCCCTTCTTCCCTTACTCCTTTCTGCACTCTTTGGAATGCTGACTGCCCTTTGAGGTCAGGAAAATTACGTAACCTTTTAGGGTTTCAGGTTTTTTGGTTTTTTTTTTTTAATCAGTGAGGGGGGACAGTAATAGGGCCACTTCATATAATGCACTTAGCCCAGCACATAAGTGCTCAACGGACATTGGTAGCAGTGGTTGTCACTGTAAGTAGTAGTAGCGTTGGTGTCGATATTCGTGATGCTTAATTTTATGTGATAACCTGACTAGCCACAGGGTGTCCCGATTCAACACTGTTTCTGGGAGTGTCTGTGAGGGCATCCTTGCATGAAATTAGCATTGGAATCAGGATTTGGGCTCAGAAAAGCAGATGGCCCTCCCGAGAATGGGGTAAACAAAAAAGTAGGGGAAAGAGGAATCTGACCCCCTTTTTCTTCTTCTTCATGGCTTGAGCCGTCATGTCATCTCATTTCTCCAGCAATCATGCTGGAATTTACACTGCCATTTCCCCTGGTTCTCAGGCCTTCAGACCCAGGCTGAATTATATACCACTGACTTTCCTGGGACTCCAGCCTTCAAAAAGCAAGCTGACTGTAGGTTGGGGGACTTCTTAGCACCTATAAACAGAACACACACACATTCTCTCTCTCTATCTATCTATATATATATATACACACATACACACACACATGTATATACACACACGTATGTATGTACACAGATATGTGTATCCCAGCACATGAGTATATTTAATCCCTTTCCATTGAATATATACATATACTTTATACACACACACACATATATACACACACACACACACACACACACAGAGAGAGAGAAAGAGAGAGAGAGAGACAGAGAGAGAGAGAGAATATATGTGTAGGTATATGGAGAGAACAAGGGTATATAGATGCATATATCTATAAATATTTATAAATTTGTATCTATATATTTATATGCACATATATAAAAAATATACAACTTCTCTCCATATACCTACATATATGTGTGTGTATATGTATTTTCAGTGGCAAAGGATGAAATAAATACGTATATTCCATTGCTTCTGTTTGAGAAAGCCTAATACAGTATTATCACCCAAACCCTAATTCTGAGAAAGTTCTTCCAAATCTGCCATGTGCCCTCCCCCTAATTTCCATCCAATAGACATCCATTATCTTCCCAGCTCTGCAGCCTGGGGTAAGTTACTGGGGTAAGATCAGTTGACTTGATATCTGTTCTTGTACCATCTAGGGAAAAGCACAAAGCTTAAGAAGGCCTGGAAGGGGAGACCCAGCCAGCTGCCAGTTAGGAAGAATAATGGTGTGACCTGGGTGACAGCCAGATGAAGTTGTCTCATCAGAGCAGCGGACAGGAAACAGCTGAACAGACAAAGCCAAAGCAAAGCCCTTACTGCTACAGTGCCAGCCAACCCAGGAATACCCAAGTCAATTAGCAAGCCTCAAGATAAGGAGCAGGGCAAAAATTTGGGTGCAAATTGGAAGATAACTGGGGCAGGGCAGGAGGAAGAATAGATTCCACAGTGATGGTTATTCTGCCGTGTGATCTTTGTTGAACTGAAACACTTTCTCTAGACATTATTACCACCAAGGGAAGTAACACTTTCTCAATCTACCTTACTGCTCAATGATTGTGTGGGTCACAGGAATGGGGGTGAAGGACTGGTTAAAGGATCAGGATCAGGGTAAACAAACACTATGAGGATTCAGTGTCAGTCATTCCAAAGCCCACGTGGATTGTGTGATTCTGTAAATCCAAACGGGGGCAACCATCTCTGATATTTTGTGCAACTGTCAACCTCAAATGCCCTCCTGAACCCCATATATGACAAAGCAGTCACCAGCCTGCCTGATACCTCACTAATCAGCTTTCCCCCTGCTACCAAGCCATGCCAGGTGGACAGAACCATTCTCCAGGGAAACCAAGCGCTATCACTTCCTTTTTCCACCGAATACAATGTGTCCCTGATAATCCATTTGTCATATCTGACTTTCTCCTTCCTGCTGGCAGCAACCAGGGCCCCTCTCATTACATGACTGCCAGGCTTGCTTCAGCCTGAACTGCTGCAGAATTAACTTGTCATGTCCGCTCCACCATGGGAACCTGTGGGAAGTCAGAGCCTCAGACAGCTGAAACACCGGAGGGAAAGAAGATTTCCTGCATGGGTCATTTCCATCTACAGCACCATGGTGCGCTCATTAACGCGTGGGTTGGAAGGTGCTAAGGACAGATATGTGACCCGGAAGGACGGAACCTGCTTTTGAACTTAAAACCATAAAGACAGGTGTTTGTAAGACATTTTGCACCTTCCAAAACACTTATTCACGTTCTCGGATGTGAACAGGCCATAGGGAGGGGATTGTTTCCTTGTTCACATAGTTGCCAGGTTGCAGAGAAATCTCCCAACTCTCAATCCGGAGCATCTGTTTAAGTAACATCTCTGCTATTAACCAATTTATGAATCTATGTGAAGTCACTTAACTTTTCCAATCTGCAGCTTTTTCAGCTCCAAAAGAAAGGCAATAAAACCATTGTTAAGGGGACTTGACTAAATAAAGATAATTTTTAAATGCTTTATAAATTTTGAAGTATTCTACACATCAATCCATTGCAATGATTATATTATGAAACCTCAGCTCAAGCTGCAACAATGAAGCAACAGAGAAGGCAGAAAGGGCAGTGCGTGTGGGGGTTCTGGTCTCTACTCCCTTTTCTCGCTCTGTGGCCTAGGGTAAGTTAATAACTTTCTTGGGGATCCATTATTTCACCTCTAAAGTGGCAAACAATAAAAGCTATGTTGAGATTGATTTTGAGGATTATGTTAGAGAGTGCAGGTAGAGTATTCCAGCCCACAGGCTAGCACACTATAAACCTTCAAATAACGGTTGATATCATCATCATCGGCACTAACTTCTAGTTAACATCTGGACCAGAAGCCACGATTTCTGGTTTTGTGAATTTGTTTATATATTTTAATGTTACATTGTCTGATACATAAACCATTCACAATTATTGTATCCTATAGATATATTAATCTTGTTATCAAAATACGTTATCTCAAATAAGTTTCTATTATGAATTCAACATTCTCTTATATTAATATAGCTTTGATAGACAGTTTCCACTCCTCTATATACTTTTATTTAAGTAATATCTCTTAAATGCAGTCGTGGCACTTCATTCTATTTTAAAACCCTAGACTTTAATTGGAATATTAAATCCATTTACATTTAATGTAACTGTTAAATATAACCCCAAATTTGAGGTTATAACTAAAACCTTACTGTTTTTGTTTTTAACTTTTTCCTCCTCTATTTTCTCTGATCTCTTGATTTTGGATTTAAGGAAGAATCATGTCTCCTCCCAGCTTGCCAACCGTATTTTTTTTTTATGCTGTCCTTTTAGTGGTTCCAAAAGACATGAAAAATTTATAATTGACTTATCAGAAGCTAATCAAAATTATTTTTATGCCACTTCCTAGACAACACAAAGGTGGAAGTATTTTAAATCAATTTAACCTACCTGCATTTTGTATTATTGCGATCACACATTTTACATAGAGCTTAAGCCCTAAGTATTATTTTATCATTTTACATTTTATTGATTTATATGTTTAAATCTTCATTTTTAATTTACATACATAGTTACTTTTTCTGTTGCTTTTCCATGTCTTCTTTAATTCTGTGCTATTCTCTGAGAATATTTTCTCCTACATGATGAACTATCTGTGATATTTTATTTAACATGGGGAAGATGGCAATAAATTCTGGTTTAATTGAAAATGTCTATTTCACTTTCATTTTTGCTCTGAGCAGAATTTTAAGTTGGCAGTTATTCTAGCACTTTGAAATGTGTTTATATTGTCTTCTGAACTCTGTCATTTCTATTGAGATACAAACTATCTTAACTCTTCGCCATGGCTACCTTAAACATTTTCTATTTCTCTGTGGTTGTCAACTGACTATAATGTGTCTACATGTGTTTTCTTTGTATTTATTCACCTAGAAATTTGTTAAGCATCTATAATCTGACATAGTTTGTCTTTCATCAGTTTAGAAAAATTCTCAGCTAATGTCTCTTCAAATATTGTTTCTGCTTTATTCTTTCTCACTTCCATTCTGTCATTTCCCTTATACTTGTTAGTCTTTTTCACTCCAGTGTTGTATCTTTTGTATTTTTTTCTGTATACCCCATTAATTTCTCTTCATAATCAAGTCTGGTTTTTTTCCAAATTGATCTTCCAGTTAGTCTTTCTTTGCTCCCGTCTAATCTGTTAAACCAAGTAATTGAACTCTAAATTTTAGTTACTGCATTTGTGTATTCCAAATTTTAATTTGTTATCTGTCTGGTTCCCAGGTCTATGATGAAATTTTCCAATTCATCTAAATCTCTGATCACGTTTTTTTTTTGTTTGTTTGTTTGTTTTTGAGACCTTCGCTCCTGTTACCCAGGCTGGAGTGCAATGGCCCGATCTCGGCTCACCACAACCTCCGCCTCCTGGGTTCAGGCAATTCTCCTGCCTCAGCCTCCTGAGTAGCTGGGATTACAGGCACATGCCACCATGCCCAGCTAATTTTTTGTATTTTTTTTTTTTTAATAGAGACGGGGTTTCACTACGTTGACCAGGATGGTCTCGATCTCTTGACCTCGTGATCCACGTGCCTCGGCCTCCCAAAGTGCTGGGATTACAGGTGTGAGCCACCACGCCCAGCTTCATGTTAATATTTTTAAAGTCCATTTTAAATGACTTAAGTATCCGTATCTCCTGTGAATATCTTTTCATTATTGGTTTTTCTCATTTTGTTTGTCACGAGGTCTTGTCTTCTAGTACACTTTGTAATATTTTATTGAAAGTGTGTTGTTTTGCATAATAATTCTTTAATGGGGATCTGAAAAACGTTATTTTTCTAAAGAGAGGATGTCATTTTATCTCTAATTGGCAGTAAGGTAAAGATAGATCATCTCTGTTCTTATTTCATAAAGGATTTGGTAAATGCTAGTCTATTTCCAGTTTTCTCTTTCTAGAAGAAGGCAGCCCCTTCAGGATTTTTAATTAAAATTTGTTATTTGTCTGGTTTCCAGTTCTATGATGAAAATTTTTAATTCATCTGAATCTTTGAGCATGTTAATATTTTTAAAGTCCATTTTTAGTAAGTATTGTCATCTTTTAAAATTAAAAATCCTGAAGGGCTGCCGACTACTAGTGTGGTTTCTCCCTGATGAACCCTGAAGTCTAATTATTTACCCCCTCCATGTCTGTGAGATGAGTGGAAGCTTTGCCTCGGTATGCAGTCTTTTAACCACTTTTTGCTCAACCTCTCAAGCCCCTCTTTTTAATCAGCAAATGCGTTACAGAGAAAGTAGCACCCCAAGTGAGGTTGATTTCTCTCTGGAACCTTGACCCCCTCAAGCTGTCTTGATAGCTCTCCAGTTCCTTCAGATTGGTTTAGTTTTGTCCAGTTCTTCTTCTTGTTCTTGGAGAGAGGGTTTATTTGAATAAGCTCACTTTGCCAAAAGTAGGAATGTCAACTGTATCACAGGAAGTCCCCTTTCCCCTTAATACTGTGTTTCCTTAACGGCATATTGGCGCCAACCCACCACTCTTAAACCATTTGAATGTCTAATGCTTTATCTCATTCAAAGCACTTCCTTGTTCCAGAGCAGCCTAAGCCATAAGCGGTGGGGAGAAATGCTCTACTTTACCTTCCTTCTTCCCTGAGTCTCCTCTGGTGTTAAGCTGGCAGGAGAAACAGGGGAGACAGAAGTGTCATCACATAAAGGCACAAACCATAGTGAGTTGGCAGGACTTTTTCTGTCAATAGCCTCTGATCCTTGACATTGATGGGCTTGAGGATTCTTTGCATGACAGTTATTC